TCCCGTTGGCCGGCTCCAAGTCGCGGAGAGACACGACGGGATTGGGGATTGGGGATTTGGGGCATCATCGCAGGGAAGCAGACGGTCTCGTGCATGTGTGACCCCAACGCACGGGGCTCCGACTCTGGAGTCCCTGGTTTGGCCCGACGGGGGCGTGTCAGCAACCCCAAAGGACCCTGAAGCCGAGAGCCAGGAGATCCGGGCACTGAAGCGGGTACTGGCTTCCTTTTTCGATATTCCTTCTTTTTGCTCGCATTTTCGTTCTTCTTTCACCGGAGAAGCCGGCCAGAGATGGTATTTCGGTGAGACTCGGTCGATATCTCCGGCCAGACGAGGCGAACATTCCGGCGACACTAATGCCAAAATGGAGCCGACTGACATGCACCTTGCTGATGGTCTCTTTGCCAGGCTGGCCTGACCGCGTCTGGGTCCTGGCGCCTTGCGCAGAGTATTGCGTAGATGGAGTACAGACAGGCGTCACTCGCGCTATACCACCGATTGCACACGTAGGGCTCGGGGCCCTCCACCGAAGCGGTGAGCTCACTTTGCAAGGCCCGCTTGTGCTCGACAGCAGAAGAAGAGAAGCCAGCATGCCGCGCTTGGTGGATAATGAGCTGCTCAGCCGCGGACGCAAGTGCCGTGGGTGGACGTCAGGCCTTCTTTCACAACCCAATGAGCGATAGCCGCCCTGGATAGGCGTCTCGGGATCAAGCATTCTTGCCCCCCCCCCCGATGCCCATGAGCATCTCATCTTCTGCACGTCCGCGGCACTCCGAGTCGACGGTGCGCTGGCCGTGGCCCCGCTCAGCACAGTCGATATCGGCCGGCGTTGGGCCGAGCGGATCGGCATGTCGAGCAATTGGCCATTCGAGCCATGTGCTGTTTCGGGGAACCGCACCGGAATCCCCATGTCCTGCAGGCAGTGCGATGCGATGGGGACTTCAGGCTTGGGTCGATGCGAGGGGACAAAAATCCCTTGTGCCGGGCTTTCCCTAGAGCAGCCTAGGCGCGGGCGACCTGGAGAGCGGCTGGCTGTCATCTACGGCTCGCCATGACGACAGGCGGGATCCCTTTGAGCCGATTTGCCGAGGGTGCGTGCGCTAGCGCCCAGCATGCTGGCACGGACTATATATAGAACCTGTCTCTTATACACATCTAGATGTGTACATATATATAGAACAGTGCAGCGTGCAGGCTGGGGAGGGGGGGGGCGCTTGGCATGGGCGGTCCATGTGACGGCTGGTGATGCTGCTGGTGGTGCCGATGGTGCTGTTGCTTGTCGTGCGTCGTCCACTGACAGTGTGTGTCCTCGCTTGCTTGCTTGCTTGCCTGCGTGGCCCGTCGCGCGCTCGGTCGCTCGCTTCCTGCTCTTGGTATGATATCGCCATGCATGCATGCCTATAGCATGCCCGAATGACATCTGCGCAACCTTGTGGTAGCGACGCCTGCACCCAATCGGACGCCGCGCGAGCCTCTGTGATCACGCTTGCGGCCTTGGCCTGATGCGCGGCAGGTGCCCGCGCATGCCTGTCCGCGTTGTTCTGTGATCCGATGCCATGCGCGTCCCAAAGGCCACTCGCCGCCGCGGAGCTGCCCTTCGAGATGCCCCGGGCGCCGCCTTGCAGATGGCCATCGATCATGCTTCCGCCGGCCCTCGAGTGACTTTTGGCGTGCCTGGTTGACTTTGGCGCCGTCGCCCGCCCTGGGGGATCCCACCAATTGCCGCGTGCCTTGGGCCTCAGAGAACCCCCTCTCTGACACGCCCCGTCCCTGCGCAGCCAATATGGCCAGGACATGGCGGAAATGGCTGATGCTTGCTGAGTTCGTCGTGCCTCTCTCGCTCATGCCACCGGCGCAAGCGCTCCGTCAAATTCTGAGACCGCAGAAACTGGGCTGATGTGGTTTGTCGATCCATCGTTGTCTCTGATCGGATATCGCTGGAGCCAGCGTGCAAGCCCCCCACGTGTGGAATCGTGCTTCCCACGATGCGATGCGCACTCCGCCGTGCTGCGCGCAGAGCAATGCGAGACACTTGCCCCAGGCCCACATCAGACAGACTCGGCCAGTTGCATCATGCTCGACGCTGGCCGGCTTCTTCCGCCCATTCCCTTTGAGGCCCCTCTGAGTAATATCACAGCCGACATGACTGTGTCCGAGGGGCTTCTCCCCGATTCCAGCGACGCCCTGAATCAGTCGCATCAGTTCGGTCAGGTCATTCAGATTTGGCGCCGGCAATGCCCGCTGGGGCCCCTCTGCAGCCAGAGTCACGCAGCCCAGTGTCACACCCAAAGGCAAAACGGGCAGGTCCCATCCCAACGGGCAGGTCCTGTCCCAACAGCCTGGCTCGGGGGAAACGGTCAATTTCGATGTGGGGTTGAGAACTGCCGTTCCAGAAGCAAAGCCCTTGCTCAGCACCTTAGGTCCGTCTGTTGCTGGCGGCGTTGGAACCCATGATGTACTGTAGCCACGATGACCTGACAATCGCGGCTTGAAACTTCTTGGGCTGCAGCACTGACTGCTAGCAGCTCGGTCCATTGCGGCACGGACGTGCCCGACAAGGCAAATAGTCTCACGCCTCCTGGCAGCCACGATGCGCTTCCAGTCCTTGACGTAAGGGTGTGAAGAATCGAGGTCCAGGCCTGAGCCACTGGCGCCGTGTTGGGCGACGCTGGGCAGTGCGAGCGGACGGCCCTTGGCTCGTGCAAGCCTTACTGCGTTGCCCGCTCAGAACGCAAAGGGCGTGTGGTCATTCTGATGCTGTAGGAGCAGGGACGTCAGAGACGCCAGGTCCTGCCACGCTGTGGCCGTGTTCCAGGGCAGGTATTGGAGTCGCACCATATCGAATCAACACACATTGGTCATTCCTCTCGCCGGCTTCGAATCGCTGGTATAAGACATGCGCAGAGATCGGTTGGCCGTTCAGCTTGCGGTTCAAGCACGCCCGGGCGCCGGGCGGCTAAGGCTGTCAAGGGGGCTCCGTGCTACAGGTCATAATCGCTGCAGTAACAGAGCGCGCGAGTCCTCGGGGGCGGGTTGTGAGTCGTCGTAGAGTGATTTATGACTACCGCAGCCCAATCCCGTAGAGAAGTAGATCAATTCATACTAATGATCGCGAGTAGCCTTCGACCTGGATGTTGACATCTGTTGGTTTGGACGAGCTCCTCGCGAACTTCGGGCGAACGGCAGCATGCGAATACGCACCTGAACTGCTCTTTGTGGATGCTCGCCAAACGATCCTTCTCAAGTCTGTATAAAAGAGAGTATCTGGCATTCTGTCCGGGCGTCTTACGTAGTGTTCTTGTCGAAGCGATTTGTCGTGAGCGATCGTCGAGTTCGCTGCTAAGGAGTAATCGGGGTGCGCTCCTCTGAGACGCCCGTGTAGACAGCAATGTCCAGCCATTTTCGACTTTAAGGCAGCTGATTAATGTTTCCCTGATGTAGAGTATTGAAGGCGATGCCATCTGTGTTTCTTTCTCTTCGTGTTCTGGTCCAGACGCGTCAGTCACTGTCCGTTTGCGTGCATCGCAGGAGGCGAGCCCAACCATTCTGTCGCAGCCGACGTACCTTGGCGACGCACAAAAGGCTAGAGTCTCCGATTCAGAAAGATTCTCTTGCTTCATATGCAAAGGCCACATGAATTTTGGTTGCCAATCTAAGGAGGTTGTGGTGCTGGTTCGTAGTGTCATCGCATCGATCGTGACATGTCCTGGGCAGGAGGCCGGTCGTGGTCGCAGACATCCACAAAATGCTTCGAGCACGGGGGAGGACAACTGGATTGAACGCCTGCGGCTTTGTGTGCCTCCTTCATTTGCCCTGTGGCCCTGCTGAACGTCAGTGTTGTGGTAAGGGGGAGTGGCAGGGCGACGTGCACTCACGCGTCGGCACCCAGCAACACCACGTTCAGGCTCGCGACAAGCTCTGGCGCGCCTCACCCAAACGTGTGCGTTTTTTTTGTAGGGCACTGCACAAAAAAGCAAAAAGAACGGCTGCTCAAACCGGCAAAAACGGAAGCGTAGACGCTAGATTTTACAAACGGTGATTGCGGACATCCCCTGAGTCCCCAGACGCTCCAACCGCAGTTGTATGAGGGCCTGGCTTGCATACTCAAGGAATCGAAGCGAAGAGCTTGACGATCTTTGAATGTGCCGCAATACCGTTAGACTATGTGGCAGTCTACCTTGTGCTTCCTGGGCGAAAGATGAATGCATTCTTTTGACTTAAGTATTGTTCACCGCAGCTGGGCGTTGCTGGGGGGAGGAGATGGGATGAAAATCTGTTCAGCAGGTGCGCGGGCAGTGAAAGTGTGCGCTGAACGGGTTGCTGGGTGGCTGGCAGCTGGCGGCGGCGGGAGTGACAGCTGGCGGCGGCGCTGAACACGCCGCTAGGTGCTACTGTAGCGCTGTCAGCACATCTGTGGTACCCGTAGTGTGTGGAGGCGAGTTCAGCGCCGTAGGGTCACCTCACACGGCGGCATCCCCAAGCATGCTGCAAGCAAACTCGAGACTCGGATATTCTCGAGGTCGACAAGGGGTGGGATAACCCCTGAACGGTGCACGCGCAAGTCGGCAGGTCCATCAACGAGGTGACAATGTGACAATGTCCAATGGTCTGTAGAAGTGGACAGCGAAGGATGGACATCGAGGGCGGTTTTCAGGAAAAGGAGATGTGGCCAGAATTGTTGGAGGGAAATTTTCGGTGTCGTCGGTACACCAGATGGGTGATCCTCCGCCGGGTCGCTCCTTCCCGGCAGTGTCCCCTCGCCGTGCCAAGATGCATTTCCGATCACGAAGAAGTCACACAGTCTAGCGACAATTGAAAACCCCATTATGAACCGCAATAAAAACAAGGTATGACAGGCATGCGCGAAGAATCGCGGAGTTCTCTTGGCGCCTGTGAAGAGTGATCATCGCTACCCTACAGACGGTTGTACCACGACCAGCTCTGCAGCTTCTGACGACGTTCAAGCGCAATCAGGCCGCTCGGGACCACTTGGCACTGTGATGCGAATCAACAGCTTCAATCATCGCTGTACAGGTCGCAAAAACGTGTGTTCATTGGGTGCGCGGCTCAGCGTGTATCATCTTGATGGTCACGCACGCGTAGCCCCAACGGATGGCTCGAAGCACTCTTCCCAGCATGACGCCTATCTATGATTGTCCTCGTGGACAAGAAGAAAAACAACTATCTACTGGCCGCGTAGCCTACAGCCGAAATAAGATCAATCGCCACGCGGTCCTACCGTCATGCTTGGTATATCGCTGCACTTCAACATCCCCCAGCCCTCGTCATTCAAAAGTCATGCCTCGTGTTTTCCTTCAATTGTGACGCAGCTAGCAAGCAATGGCGCTGCCTTGGCCTTGTGCACCCTTTCCCCCGATTTCCACCGCGAAAAGCCATGTACAGAGAAGATTCTATCCCACGCCCGCAAAAACACGCTTTCAGAGTAATGGCCCCAACCATACGACTTTTTCCGCGTAACAGGGCACTTCGACGTGATGACCGGATGCGTCGACGTTCACTCAGATTGCGTAGTTCGCTTTCAGGCTCTGCTGGTCCTGGGGTCGCATCTGGCCGATGAATTCGTTGAACTGCGGGATCATTTGCTTGTACACATTCAGGACCTGGAGGGGGAGGTTAGTGTCCGCTCGCGGAGATGCGCCGGGGCAGTCGAGGGGAGACGTACGTTCTGGAACACCTCATGCAGCTCCTGCTTGATAGGGTTCCGGAGGTTCATGTCCTGGTACTGTGCAATAGCGGCAAAGTAATTCAGCAGGACCTTCTCCATGGCGTGCGGGTTTTGGCCCACAATCATGGAGAAGCCCTTGAGGGCAGTGGCCTTTTCCTCAGACGGGTCGACTTCCTGGATGGCGCCGAGGAAGTCTTCCGCAAAAGTCGGCAGCGCAGGCGCCAGAAGCTCCGAGTTGTGCAGGCCAAGCCGGCCGAGGGCGATGGCGGCATTCTCCGTGAGACCCTTAGGCACTCGGGGGTTTGTCATGACCTCGACGAACCGCTGCAGAAGCTCTGGGATCCACTGTCCCATGCCCTTGCCGTGCTGCATGGCGATCTCGCCGGCTGACCAACAGGCATTGTTGATGACGCCAAAGCCGCTATCCATCTCTTCATCCAAAACGTTGTCCATGTCGAGCTGCTTCAGCAGGATCGGGACCATGGCCGGGAGGTGAGGCTGCAGCTGAGGGAAGACGTACTTGGCGCAGTCTCCGAGGAGGGCATACGCCGATTGTCGCACTTCGTCCGTCGGATCTTCCATGCAGAAGCTAAGGAGCTCAAAGAAAGGTTGGGGCGAGCTCTTGACAAGCTCGGCGGACTTCTCGTCTTCCAAAGCTTGGATAATGGCACTCATCAGGTCCAGGCTGGTGATGAGAAAGTCCTTGTCGGGCTGCTCAAAGGTGGAGTTTGTCGCCGCGGCCATTGCCTGCTCCAGGTTCGCGTGGATGATGTCGACGCATCGCATGAAGATAGGCGCGGCGTATGGGGTGAAAGCGTGGCCTAGGGCCAAGGCGACATACGAGAGACACTCGAGCAGCGGGAAAACCTCGCGAGAAATGTCCGAGATGATGTTGTAGCGTCGTATCAGAGCGGGCATGAGCTTGCCGGCCAGCTCAGGGGCCGCCAGCATGGGGCCGATGCGCTCGGCGAGCGTCTGCACGCAGTCGTACAGGATGTACATGTTGCGGTCCTTATACTTTTGGAAGCAGAGGACAAATTGAACGATGATGGGGCCGCAGTATGGCTCCAGATGCTTGCCAGCCTTCTCCTCGAGGTTGGCAAACGCCGAGGCACCGGCCTCTTGCACCTTCTTGTTCTTGTCCAGCATCTTGCGCAGAATGCCGTCCATCAAGGGCACAAAGTACTGTTCCTTCTGGGCTGGGTCCTCCAAGTTCGCCGCCCACGCCGAGTACCGTCCGAGGGTCCAGCAGGTGATTTGCCTGACGAGCGGTTCGTTGTCCTCGAGGAGGGAGATGAGATACGGGATGAGCTCGGGCAAATGAGGAGTCACGACGTCCATAGCTCCTTCCGCCACGGCACCCAGGGCGAGGACAGCAGCCTCGCGCTGGGGCCATTCGCTATGCTTGAGGTTCTGCGACAGGTAAGGGAAGATGGCCTCAAACACGGCGCCGCGAAAGTCACGGGCGAACACGTCGAGAGCCGCAGCGGAGCACTTGCGAACGGTCCATCGCTCGTCGGGATTGGCGTCGTCGCCGTCATCGAAGTCGTCGTCGTCGTCGATCTCGCCTTCCTCAAAGTCGTCCTGCATCCCAGTGGTCTTTGTGTAGCCGGCATCGCCGCCCTTGGAGAGGTCTCCACCACCAGTTCCTTCACCGTTGATGGCCCTTGTGAGAGTCTTCTTGGCAAAGGCGGGCATGATGTCTTCGGGTCGGTCCTCTTCCTCCTCGTCATCCGAGTCACCGCCCAAGAGTGCGATGTCCTCGCCACTGTAAACCATGCATTCCAGCAAGACGGGGATGATCTTGCCGAGGTAGGGCTGGAGAGCCTTCCACAAGTCCTCGTGCTCGCCAACGGCAAGCCAAAACTCGGCAGCCTCGCAGGCGAGGTCCTCGTCTTCGCTCCTCTGCTGCGAGATGATGTAGTCGACAAGGCCATTAATGTGGGGCTGGAGCTTGTCGGGGCGAGTCTCGATAAGGTGGACGAAAGCCCGGCAGACCTGCCGTCGAACGTCGATGCTCTCGTCGCTAGCAAGAACAAAGAGGTGTTGCAGGAGGTCATCGATGGAGTTGAGCATGGCCTGCGACTCGCGCGGCGTGAAGACGTTGATGGCTGTCAGCGCCCCGACCCGGACCTTGGGCAGAGGACTCTTAGTGGCGGCAATGAACTGGGGCAGGACGTAGTTGAGGGGTCGCTGGCCATTGACCTCCCGCATCAGCATGCGGGCGTTGTCCTCGCAAATCTTGGCCATGGCCGACATGGCGCCCTCTTGGCCCTCGCTGGAGACGTTGCCGTTGGTATTGCCAATCATGTCGAGGAGCTGAGGGAGAAGGTCGGGCCAACCTAGCAGGCCGCCCTTTTTGATGACCTCGGTCGCAATGTTTCCGGCAAAGCCCCTGATCTGCGCGTTCTTATCCTGCAGGGCGTGGGGGACGGCGAGCTTGACGAGCTGCAGGCTGGACTCGGGGATGGACTTCCACTCTGCCTTGACGTTGTTCTTGAGCATGATGCCGGCGGCGGACCGCACGAGGTGGTAGTCTTGCTCGCTGCATTGCAGGCCATCGGGCACCTGGGGGCTCGAGAAGAGGTAGGCGAGATAGTTGTTAATGTCGGGCGAGGACTTGGCCTGCTCAAGCATCTGCCAGGGAACCCGGTCAGCACGTGCGTTGCGACGGGGCTGCGACGACACGGGGAGCTCACCACTTCCGCCTGCTTCTGGGCATTCTTGTCAAAGCCGCTGAGGGAGTCCTTGAGGCACGCAGCGAGCTGCCCCAGGGATTCGGGGGCGGGCTGCCACGACATGATTGTAAGTGGTGGCCGTGGCGGAGCGTCGGCGTTGCGCAAGGAGCTTGGCGAGTAGGGCGCGCGAAACGGCAGAGGGGAGGGAAGGCCAGAGGGCCGCGTCTATCGCGCGAGCTCGTGCAAGGCCAGCCTGGAGAGACACAAGTCAGCCACGGACCGGCATGCGACGCCAAAGACGGCGGCAGCAGCTTCGCACCTCGAGGTGTCGCTTGGTCGGACGTCGATGGCGGGGCCACACTACAAGGTGTCCGCGGGGGGCGCTCACCTCAAGCGCAGTCAACGGGCAGAGCAGCGAGATCCGCAAATGACGAATTCCGTGTCTTTCGCCCGATGTGCGAGGGGCGCTCGATCTCCCGGGGGCGTCGAGTTTCGGGGCCTGGGGTTGAATGCGGGCAAGGTTGGAGGGAGCCAAACCTGTGCGCCTTGGAGTGGCCTGTGTCTGGACACTGGGATTCTGGGCCCCGGCGGGGAGTAGCACGACTCGACTTGCCCGCCAAAATTGGTGGCGGGGTGCGATAACGATAACCCGGCGGGCAGGTGGGAAATTTGCGGCCGCTCGACTGGCTGGACGGCGGGCGGGACATGAGGGGGGATTGGATGGGGGGCAACCGCCGCCCATTTGCTGGTGGAAGGTACCCCAGGGAGGGCAGCAATTTTTTTCCTCGCTGCCCTGGGCTCTGTCCGAGCCCGTGGCCGCTGTTTGCTGGCTTCCACGTTCCCTTCCACTGGAGGCTGGTCCTGGCCTGGCCGGACCCGACCCGGAGTGGCACACCTCACCTCAGGGTTCAACTTACTTCAGCACGGCTACCCCGCCGCGACCCGATTATGGCGAATAACAACTGGAGGGTCCTCCTGAGCAGCACCTCAGCCCAAGCCTGATTGATGGGCAAACTCTGCAACCCCAGTTGTGCGTACGTATCGCGAAGCCGCGCGGGGCTCTGATCACTTTGATGAAACATGCATGCGGGCGCCAGAGCGGAATGGTTTCCCCTACATAACGACGCTCTCACCAAGCCCATGCCTTAGTACCTATTGCCACAATACGGCAACTTAGGTGCACTATTCTCTCGTAGGTGTTGCTCAAAGCCCGTCCCGTGCACATACTGCAAAGTACGAGCGGCGAACTTCAGCGCAATCAGTCCTGGTTGCCGTAGCGAAACCCATGGCCTGTCCCACTCGCGACCCCTGATTGCCTCTGGCGGAGCATCTTGGCGTCGCAGCTTGACGACAGTAGGCAGGTCAAAGCTGCAGGACACCGGCGAAATGGAGCATGGAGATTCGAAGTGTCGGGGATCCGACTGCCGATGCCGATGCGTAAGGCCTTCGTCAAGACCTGCAGCTGGCAAAAAATCTCCCCAAAGCCTATTTCCGTGCGTCGGAACCATCGCAGAGGCTCTCTTTTCGAGCACATGGGATGTGAGGCGGGCATAAATGCTTCGGTGGTACATCCCTGTTGAGTGGCACCACATCTTGCCCCGTCCTGACGACCTCGTGCCGTTCACCGCTCCCATCAATGGGTCTGGGCAGAAGGCATCTTTCATCTCCAGTCTTTTCGTCGAGGAAGCTGCGTGGCACCTATTTGGAGACCATTCCGGCGTCTCGAAGCCGGGCCAGCACCACCTCAACGATGCCCTTGAGGGCCTCCATCTCCTCCTCGACGGTACCTCCCATCCCGGCGTTGGCGAAGCTCATTGAGTTGGTGACGTACGCTGGCAAATTGGCTCTCCGCGCGATGAGCTTGGCCAGGCGAGTGGTGAACTCCACTGTCGGCTCATGGGAGAAGAGGGTGGTGGAGAGCGGCTGCTGGGCGTGGAAGCGCTGTGGGAAATTAGCACATGCTTGCAGCGAACGGAGGGGTCGCAGTGACCACATACGTCGGGCAGGGCGTAGACGAATGAGCCCATGGGCTTGGGGGCGGCGAGCTCGTCCTGGGACGCCGTCGTGAGGGAGAGCAGGATGGCCTTGGCCTGCGTGGAGAGGCGGAGGTAGATGCGCGTGTCCAGCGATTTGGGCAGCGGGATGGACAACTCGGCTATCTGGCCCTCCTCGACGGCGACCGCTGCCGAGTCCATCTTGGCGTCTGAATTGCAAAGACGTTGCGTAATCAATTCGAGGAAGAGGACTGTGTCAGTCTGTCACCGTTGCTCTCCCGCCGTCTGTGGTTGAATTGAGGTGCTGATGCAGGAGCGTTGAGATCACATGATTGGCCCGCTTCCCGCCCGGCTTGCCTGATTGGATTGATCGACAGGCTCCTCCGCGAAGCGGCGACGCCCTCACGCCCCAGCGTTACTACATTACCACATCTCACCGTGGGGACATTGAGTTTCACAACTCGTCCGCGTTAGTCTCTGTGCCCCAACGCAACAGCGTTCCTGCGGCATACCCCGTGGCGCTCACTCGAACACGGCGTTTTCAGCACGTCGACTTCACCAGCCACGACAACAATAGCGGTCTGACCGTCTTGCCATGAGCCACGAAACGGCGTCGCAGCCAACTGCGGCTGATGACCACGCCTGGAGCGGCGTCGAGGAGAGCATCGAGGATCCCGAAGAAGTCAGAGTCATATTTTGCGCCCTGGATTCCTTCTCGTGAGTACTGCGCCACATCTGCTTGGAGGCGAGGTGCGAGGAAGGTGATGGTGAGAAGCAGTGTTCCCAGACCAGACTTGCAAAGTAACACATGACACTTTGGATGACGCGAGTCCCGTCACTACATTCATCCGCTTGCTCCCGCTTTCTTCAGTGCAAGTTCTTCGCTGAGAAGCCACAGGCAATACGCCAAAGCAGCACACTTCAACCTCACCCATCTCCGCCGGCGCTCATTCTATGCCCTCCCACAGGCGCACTGGAAGCTCCTCGCAGACAAACCCTTCAACTTCCTCGAGACGCTGGACAAGGTGGACGATGCCATAGACTCCAATGCCGAGCTGGCCCGTGCCATTGTTGAGGTCGGGCTGACGGCCTTCCGATCCCTGGCATCGATGCCGCAGGAGTGGGTTGGCGTGGCTAAGCACTCCGACATTGACAAGGCCAGGAGCACGATCCGCCAGTTCTACCGCGACTGGACGGAAGAGGGTGCGGCGGAGCGGGAAGCCTGCTACGGCCCGGTCATGCGGGCCATGGAGCGGGAGAGGACGCGGCTGCCGGACAGCGGACCCCTCAAGGTGCTGGTTCCGGGCGCGGGCCTGGGGAGGCTGGTGTTTGAGCTGTGCCGCAGCGGGTACGTGGCGGAGGGCAACGAGATCTCATACCATCAGCTCATGGCGTCGTCATACATCCTCAACGAGTGCCAGGCCGCGGGGAAGCACACGATATACCCCTGGGTACACACCTTCTCGAACCACCTCACGCGGGCGAACCACCTCCGCGGGTACAAGGTCCCCGACATCCACCCCGCAACGACCCTCGCCGCCGACAGCCAGACCGTGGGGGGCATGTCCATGTGCGCGGCCGACTTCCTCTGCCTGTACGGCGACGACGCGCACCAAGAGGCGTACGACGCGGTCGCAAGCGTCTTCTTCCTCGACACGGCGCCTAACCTGATACGGTACCTCGAGGTCATCTACCACTGCCTCCGCCCCGGCGGCGTGCTGATCAACATCGGACCATTGCTGTGGCACTTTGAACACAACCCGCCGGGGAATCACGGCACAGATGACGACGGCGACGGCCAACACGACCTCAAGAACTCCTCGGGCATTGCGGACCCAGGGAGCTTCGAGCTGTCCAACGAGGAGGTGATGGCTCTGCTGGGGAAGCTGGGGTTCGAGGTCGAGTGGCAGCAAGACGGCATTGAGGCGCCGTACATCCAGGACAGCGAGAGCATGCTGCAGACGGTGTACAAAGCCAGCGCATGGGTGGCGCGCAAGCCGGCTGCGGTCACGACATGAAGCGGCACGGCAGACTGGCTGGCGGGCGTAGATTAAGGAATGGGGCGTTCACAATGAGGGCGCCAGGCCGATACAGTATGGCATCATAGCGTGCATGAAAATAGAAATAGACTCGATTCGCCAAGGTAGCCACCATGGAGGCTCAGGTTCCAATTCGTACACACACGGCCGGCTATCTATCCTACAGCTTGGCCTCACCGGGCCGCATGAGCTCACCGCGAGACCACACCGCGCCGCCGTCAATGGCAATGGCCTCCCCGTTGACGTGGGAGCCGGCCCTGCTGGCGAGGTAGACGACGATGCCGGCAATGTCCTCGGGCCGTCCGAGGCGGCCCATGGGGTTCCCCTCGGCGGCCTTGTCGGCGCCGCCCGAGATCTCGAGCAGGCCGTTGGACATCTTGCTGGGGAAAAAGCCCGGGCAGATGGAGTTGACGGTGATGTGGCGGGGGCCGAGCTCGACGGCGAGGTTGCGGCCGAGGTGGATGACGGCGGCCTTGCTGGCCGAGTAGCCGTAGGTGCCCTGCTTGCCGATGGTGCCGATGCCGAGGCCGGCGACGCTGGCCGTGATGATGACGCGGCTGGGCTCCCCCGCGGGGCTCTGGGCGGCGGCCTTTTCCAGCAGGGGCGTGAAGTCGCGGATGGTGTTGAAGACGGCCTTGACGTTAAGGTCCATGACCTTGGCGAAGGCCTTGTCCGGGTGCGCGTCAAAGGCCTCGCCCCAGGTGGCGCCCGCGTTGGCGAAGAGGATGTCCACCTTGTCGGTGTGGCGGCGCACCTGGGCGAGCAGGTCGGCGACGCCGGCCTGCGTGCTCGAGTCGGCGGGGACGGCGACGGCGCGCGCGCCCGGGGCGAGGTTGGGGAGCGCGTTGAGCGCGGCGACGGCCTCGTCGCAGGCGGACGCCTTGCGCGAGGAGATGAAGACGGTGGAGGCGCCGGCTTGCAGGAAGCTGCCAGACCACTTGTTAGCTTTTCACCTCTTCTTCTCATTCGTCTTCGTATAATTGCCCCCCCTTCTCTGTGTCTTCTTTCCTGCTTCCCTACTTTCCTCCTTGCGTCTCCACTAAGGGACTCCACTTCCCCAGCGCAGAGCAAGGGGAGTGTTGGGGAAGCGTGAGAGAGAGAGAGAGAGAGAGACAGAGGGAGTGCGTGGGGGCAGCAGACTGTAGGTTTCCACGGGGGAGGACTCAGAAAGGGGGAGGAGGGGGATGTCGTACGCGGAAGCGGCGTGCAGGCCGAGGCCGCGCGAGCCGCCGGTGACGACGGCCACCTTGCCCTTGAGGGAGAAGAGCGACGGGAAGTCGTGGAGCTGTGCCTCTGCCATTGTGTCTGTGTGTGTGGATGCGTATATGCGCGTGCGCGTATGTACGTGTGTGCGTATGTGCGAGAGCCTATGTGTCACGAGCTCTGTGCTGTGCCCCGTCTACCGGAGAGAGAGGAGAAGCAAGCAAGCAATCAAGCAAGCAAGACCAGCAGCGTGCAGCGAGCCGGTTGGTCGAACTCGAAGGGGCGCGGACAATCGGATCGCGGCGGGCGCACAACGACAGGTGTGCCGGTCTTGTTTTCGATGCACGACGTGCGTAGGTAGGTAGGCTAGGTCCTGCAGACGAGAAGTGACGTGTGCGACGCGAGGCTCTCACAAAATGGAAGGGATATGGATGTGTGATTTGAGATTTGGAATGTGAGCGAGCACGAGGACAAAGGTTGAAGAACGTTCCGTCGGAGCTCTTGGAGGGGAGGGGGACGGATTCGATATTAAAACCCCGTAGACCGGCCCGGGAGGACCACGGCCGAGGCGCGCGGTCGGCGGGCCACTCACTGACTACCTGCGCCGGCTATGGGCTCGCGCACCCCCAGCTTTGTCCCCAAACTCCGTGGCGGTTGCGCGAACGGAGGTGCCCCTCAAAACCTACCTATCAATGAGGAAAAAGGGCCTCGGCGCACGCACCAGTGGGAGCCGGTTAACCTTGGGCGATGAGGTGCGCTTCCCAAACCCTTCCCAAACCCTTCCCAGCGATCGGGAGAGGGGGAGGGGCGCTCGCGCGCGCCGCCTGGGGGAGGATGCCGAGGCACAACCATCTCCCGGGTGTGGGGATGGACGGCGCTAAATCCAGGTACTTGCAACCCACGCGGCACAGGCTGGGGTGGACAAGTATCGCCGCTGGGGAAGAAAGACGGGGGATGGTGCCCGATTTGGAACCATCTCCAGCGCCGACTGGACGGCGGCCGCAATTCATCATCAATGGCTTGTAGTTAGTTACTTCGGCCACAGGCAGGACAGGCGGCCCGAGGTCACAATCTTATCGACATACTGTACTGTATCATAGAGAGAAACACAAAGCCAAAAAGGAAAAGCATCATTCTGCCGGCTGCGTGCCACGTTAGGAAAACTCATGCTCTCGCGCATAGATGGGGAACCTCTCCTCCTCGCCTGTCACCATGTGTCCTGTGTCGCCACACGTCCGTCCTCCCATGCATGCGCCAACTCGGCGACTTGCCAACCAACATCCGGAACACGAACGGCGCCGTCGACCAATCTGACCTGCCTCTGCTCCCCGTTCGCGCCGTAAAATCATCAGTGCCGTAGTGGTACGAATGGCGGCCTGTTGGGCCCCCATCGCATCCGCTACATCTCCCCGGCTGCGCTCCTCGCCCGACCCTTGCAAACCCGCGTTGCACGAGGCAGCAAACGCCCCGTACCCTCTGGCGAGGCCCGCGCGGTGGTGGGCGTTGGTGCGCGGCTCGGGTTCCATTCCGAGAGACGAGCCCGATGCATGCATGGCCCCGTCTCCGCTCTCTCCGAGCAAACGTATATATCACTCGCGGTGCCGTCGAGGCCAGCAACCGCAAAGATGGAAATCAGACCCTAGGAAAAGAAACGTGTCGGTCGCGGGCCTCTCTGCCCTCGCTCACCTCCTCCTCTTGTGGCGGTTCTTCTGATCCCAGCATTGGTTGACGGCGTCTTGCACCAGCTCCCAGTCGTCGCCCACGATGGACCCGATGAAGAAGACCTTGACGTTGTGCTCCACCGTCACCAGCTTCGAGTAGTTGACCCGGGACTCCTTGGACAGCCTCTCGCCCTCTTCCGTCATCTGCACCTTGACGGGCGGGAACCCCAGCGCCGGCTCCTTGTCTAGTAGACGCGCCTTGTGCCCGCGCTCGTAGATGATGCCGTGCTTGGCTGGCTTGACGCCCTTCTTCTTGCACCCCTTGCCGCCGTATGTGAGGATGGGTCTGTCATTCACGTCAGCTGCATGCATGCAGGCCATGCGCGGCACCGTCGCTCGCGCCAGGAATCACATACACGCAGGTGCTGTGGCCGAGGTCGCTGGCAACCACTATGAAGCGGCGGAATCCGACAAAGAACTTGGTGCCAAACTTGTTCTGTATCTCCTCTCTGCCTGACACACTCGGTGCGTAGTCGTTGCCAGCGCCTTGCGGCTCGGACCAGTGCACCTTGAAGATCTGAGACGTCGCCATCAGCAAGAGCGAACTTTGGTCGGGGCACCTACGTCGACATACCTCTCCGGGTTGGAATTTGACCGAGTGCTCTACTCGGTAGCCTGCATCCTATTAGCCGCAGATCGTCAGACATCGCCGCCGCGGCTACGTACGAGGGTCCATCTCCTCGGCCAACAATTCTTCCTCGGCAGTAATTCGCGGTTTGGGCGTGGGTGGTCCCTCGTCCTCCTCCTCGTAATATGCCCCTGAATCACCTTGTTCAGTGTATGAGTAGTGGTGGTATTACAGGAGCCTGACCGTATGCTGCCGCAGAGGACTCCGCGCCGCTCTGGGGCTGACTGTAATACATTGCATGGCTTGCCGCCATGGCGGCTTGCATTTCCTCGTCGCCTCTCGGGTCATGACTGTTGCTTTGGGAGGCCACTTTCCTCTCTGTTAATCTTGCAATACTTGTCGTGACGTTGGGGTGGCTTACTCGTGTAGGCCTGCGTTGCGCTGCCATATGCACCTGATGTCCGCGGATCTGTGACCATCAGCTAGCGGCACCGCCGCGGGTTCGGCTTGGACGCACCTGATGACTGCGGGTAGTAGTTGCCGGCGGCCTCGTCAGTGTACTCGTCTGCGGGAATATCGTCAGTACGGCTGCGCTGGTATGACGTGAGTAGTCGACTGACATCTCTGATCGGCATAGCCAGCATGGCTGGACCCGGTGCCGGCCTCATCGCTGCGCTTGTGCGACCCGTGCTTCGATGAACCCTTGCTCTTGGACTTGCCCGACCTCTTGTCGTCGGCGCCGCTGGAGACGGTGTATTCCCCCGCTGTTTGATAGACGCAGGGTCAGCGCTGTTCCACGAGCATCTGTGCGACGGGATGGAGCGCCGTGAAGCGGCCGCCTCAAGACCGGTCCGCCAGGCCGTCCGCCCATCCAGGCCATGCAGCAAAGGGCAACGTACTCTGCTGCTCGTAGGAGTCTGTTGTCGAGAGATGCTCAAAGTCCCGCGCGAGATGTCCTATATCTCGCGGCGTCGCCTGCGGCGCAGCCCAGTCGTAGTCGAGGTTACCTGTTGGCGGCCAACGGTCAGTGCGACATGATCGAGCAGAGAGCGGCAGTGACGGCGCGCACCATTTATATCCTGGCGTACCCGGTAGTGGCGGCCGCTCGCGTCGTCCCAGACCCATTCCGACCAAGCACCCCACGGTGAGTGAGCCTTTGACTTTTCCTTGTGCTTGTGCATGGTGGCATCTTGCGCTGGGCTGCCGGCGCCCAGACTCGGATGCGCGAGGACGAGCGCGGAGGCACCAAAGGCACCGAGGGCACCCCGAGGGAGTCAGCCGCTCTACCTTGAGCTCCACGGGGAGCCAGGGACGAGGGTAGCGGACGCAGAGGCGAGAAGGGGGAAAACCACAAACAAGGGCGCCGGCGGTCGGGCACGGCAGGGAGGTGTTCTTGTAGGAGGACAAGAGACGATGCGGCTCAAGTGAGGAGAAGTACTCCGTACAAATAGCATGCGCCGGCGAACGACGAATAATCACGGCTGCGCCGAGGGGAGGAGGGGAGGGCCCGTCTCGCTCCCCACGGACGCTGTTGCAGCGACGAGCATGTACGGCTAGACTGGGGAACTGGGCCGGCCCGTGGGCCACCTGTCTCTGCTGGCCTTCCCCTCTTCTGGCTGTTCGCGTGCGGCGGCGGCGTGGGTTGGCTGGCAACGGGGGAGCTGCAGGCCCGTGGAGCGCGAGTGGGTTGACGGCATCAATCTGCGCGCCAGAGACGAGACGAGTCGGCCACGGTTGGATAGGATGGGGTCGTCGTCGGATGGAGGGGTGGATGCCGCACCACGAGCCCGTCCGTCGCTCGCCCAGCCCAGTCGGCCGGGCCAGCGGCAGTGGCCGCGCCCCAGAGCTGGCGCGGGATCGAGTTGTGAATTGGGCCGTGGCATGTGCGTGCGCCTCGCTGGGCTTCGTTGTCGTCGGTGCCCGGTGGCTTGTCCTGACGCCTCTTTTGCCCTGCCGTTGCGGAGGCTGGCTTTGCTCAGGCGCCGTCAGCAAACAAATCGAAAACGAGGGCCCCCGAGATGCGCAATGCGCAGACGCGACCCGATTCCAGCAGGTCCATCATGCCCCGACTCGTCGACGTTGCACAGCATGCCCGACCCCTGCCCACAGCGCCCGTACATTGCGTTGGCTAGCCCGACGAACGTTGCACCCTGGGGCCTGGAGTCGCCCAGATGGTCTAAAGCACGGGCGGCGGAGCAGCCTAAGGCGGGCCGTATGGTGCGCGTGCTGGGCGACGGTTCCGTCCCCCAGGTCCGTCCGATGGCTCGGCACCGTGGGCTGATCGAGGACGGGCGATGGTTGGCGCGTGGTGCCATTCGCATGCCGCATGGCGGGCGCGGGCGCGTCCCACCGCCATGGACGGTGCGGACGTGCTCCCATCTGTTCTCCGGCTCGTTGCGTCCCTGTTCCGGGCGTGTCCTCCCGCTTTGCAGATTCGCGCAGCTCAGGGCATCACGGACCCGCCTGCCGGCGGCGACGGCTTCACGTCCCATTTGCGTGGTTGCTTGTTTGATGCCCCGTTTGGGCGGGATGAGTCGTCCAGGGCGCCGGCTCAATGGTGGCCACGTTGGTGATGCCGTCGAGGTAGAGTGACATTCATGGATGGGGAGGCTTTGGGAGGACCACCTCAGACAAGAGGGGGCGGCGCTAGCTGCCCGGGTGCCCGCCTGGGATTGGCGCAACCACCGCCTCCACCCCCCTGTGGCGCCGGGAAAGGCCCACTACCCGTCCTCCTGCTTCAAGCCTCCCGGCCAGTCCAGCACCCGACCTCAGTGGGTCCAGCAGTCGATGCCCACTGATGAGGGCCCTGATTTGGGAGGAACCTTGGAACCTCTCAACGTCCGCCAGGCGGACGGCGCTTTGATGCAGACGGTCCGTCGCTGGAGCCCGCTGTAGCGCCCGAGCTCCAGGGTGCTCCGTGGGCCCACGGGCCCCGCCCGCCCCGCGCATCAATCGCGGCCAACCTTCCATGCCATGGAACCCCAAGCTGGGAGCTACCTTATCCATGCCCTGCTCGCCATGGATGTTCCATTCCATCGTCCATCCATTGCTCGCCGTGGCTGCGCTTGCAGCGTAAGCTCAGTTGGCAGCTGGCGCACGGGGCAGGGATCCATGGATCTCTGTCGGGTCCGGGGCAGCCCCCAGAGCGCCGCACCGCCCGGAAGCGACCAGTCACAGGCGCTCGGTTGTTGCGCGGCGACGCAGCTGGGCTTGGTGCATTGCGATTACTGCGCTGCGCTGCGCTGCACCTCGTACAGTAACTTTGCAACCAAGGCAATCAATCTGTCCCAGACCCTGCCATCCATCCCATCCATCCCATCCATTCTCTGCTCCTAGCCAACCATCGCGCCCGCGCGCCTACGGCCCTCTGAGACACCCTCGCGGCGCGAGGCACCGCCTTCCAGCGGTCAAAGCGAGGCGGCACACCGGCCGCATTGCTCACTCACTGACTGGCAGGTCCCCCCGGCTGCAGATGACGCCCGAGGAAATGACAGCTGGACTCGACGTTGGAGCCCGACCGACCAGCTTCCCGTCGCCGTGCGTGAGACGTCTCGCCTCCCTGTCCTGCCGTGCCTGAGCCGGCCTCACCTTGGAGCCGCAGTCTCACCGCGGGCCGTAAGAGCACAAGTGTCCCCCCCGGGCTGCCAGACAGGCCTTCCCAGGCGAGCGCCGCGCGTGTGAGGTTGACCGAAGCCTGGCTGCCCCTGCTGGAAAGGGAACCTCGGAACAGCAGCACCACCACCTCCCTCCCGCTCTCTGGCATGTAAGGTACTTTGCTTTGCACGCCTCATGGCCTGACCCAGCTCTTCATTCGACACTCCCCGACGACTCACGTCCCGCCGCCCCCGAGGACTCGCGTGCCTCAGGTTGTTCCAAGACATGGCCGTTCCTTGTCGCTGCCGCTGACACCCACGCCGACGCCGACGCTGCGCTCTGTTGCGGTGCGACGATGACGACGGCCACCAGCAGCCGTCGCCCAGTCCGCCCTCCATGGAAACCGCCGTTTGCAGTCCTGCCAGCCTGGTGCCGCGCTTCGACGCCATGGCCTCTCCCGTCGACGCCCTCGACGTTGACTTCGACAACGACCGCGACACGGATGTGTCCGTATCCCACTCCCACTTCGCCACAACCGCATCGTCTCATGGCGACGACGACATGAAAGGCAGCGATGGTTGGCGCCTCGCCAGCGACGCGTCCACCGCGTCGAGCAGAGTCACGACGCCCGACCCGGTGCCGCCGCCGCCGCCGCGAGCGTCGCTGCCAGGCATTCTTCGAGCGCCCTTCGCAGGTCGAGTGCTTGACCTGCCAGCGCCGCCTGTTCCTCCGCCGCCAGCAGGCATCTTTCAGCCTGGTTACCCGACCAAGTCGTCCGGCGCCGAGTTCCCTCCCCGACCCGTCGATGATGATACAGATACCCGCGACTGCAGCACACCACAGTATCGGCAACCGGCCGAATCGAACCAACTACCACCGCCCTATCTTCCCCCGCCTCCCTTTGCTCGATACGGGACGAGATTTACGGACGAGCACGGCCCCATGCCGCCGCCTCCGCCGCCGCCTCCCACCGTTCCAATTTTGAATCAACTATATGGTCTGTCTGGCCTTCCCCAGGGGTCTTTGTCGAGCTCGCTGCCTCTGCCTCGGACCAATCCTACGGCTCTCACGTTTCAGCAGACACGGTCTCTAAACAGCGCCACAACAAACGGAGGGGAGCCGCGTCGTCCTCAAAGTCGGAGCGAATATTCCGATTCTTCGCTGTCATCGAGGCAGCGGCTCGAAGACACATCATGGAGCTCCGACTCATCGTCGCAAGAGGATCCTGTCGCCTATCGCAATGCCCGCCAGTTCCCTCCCTCGTTTCCCGCGCCTCCGAAGAGCTTCCCGTCAGTACCGCGGAGCAGGTCCCTAGCGACGAACCGCATCAAGAGTTGGGTCTCTCAATACGAAAAATCACAGAGCCCTATGCGTACGCGATCGGACGGCACCGGATTGAGCAAGGATGCCGGGGAGGCGCCCTCGCCGGATATCGAGTCCGTGGCCTCGGACGTCTCATCATACGCAGAGGTAGAGCTTCTGTGGCAGCAGCTCAAGGAAAAGAGGGCACGGCTCGGTGAGATTAAGGCGCAAATGGCCGAGCGGCGACAAGAGCTGCGACGCTTGCGACGCCAGCGGAACGATGCGGATAATGCGTTTATGAGCCTCATCCGCCCCATGCTCGTGAGCCAACGCGGGATACTCCAGACCTCGATTCGGGTACTGGACAGTCGGGTGGCCGACATGCAAGACTTGCGAGACGAGTATCACGCCCGAGAATCAGACTACGAGACCCTTGAACAGATGATGGACGACGAAGAAAAACAGCTCAATGGCCTCGAGACGCGATTCTTTAGTCTACTGGCTGCTGGACAAACCAAAGCACATCGGGCACCAAGATCTATCACCTCCGAGGACTCGCTCGACAAGACGCCCGACTTACCGATCGAGTTGCGTGGCATTGCTGCGGACAAAGCGCTTGAAGATGTCCATCCTCTCTACGTGAAGCTCACGTCTGCAGTGGGCGACCTGGAGAATGCGAGGGAAGAGCTGGAGGACTTGTTTTACGTGAACCACCAGTACGAGTTCGAGGCCGAGCTCAAGAAAACAACAGGAAAGTCGACCACACAAGACATGGAGGAGTTTTTCGAAGAGTTTCCCGCTGAGGAAGCGAGGATGAGGGGCGAGGTCGCCAAGTTGGAAAACAGGGTCCGACATCTCAAGAAGGCTTGCGAGGATAAGGGCGTCATGCGCAAACATATGTCGCTGCGCATGGCGTACGCATTGGATCCGAACACCAAGTTCGACGACATGGAGCTCGACGATGAGAGTTCGATTCTTGCAAAGCACAAGTCACTGGCCCATGACGTGTTCCCGGAGCTCGTATCGCAACCCAACCACGTCTTGGCTGAGCCTGAGCCGCAGACGTCGCTGAAGGCCTACACGACGGCTGCGGCCCTACCCGACGACGATCCTCAAAAGCGAGACAGGCAGCGGCTGGCCGCCAAAGAATATTCTATCGACAGTTTTGCCCGCGGGCAAGACGGTGGAGGCACAGGCGACTTTGTGAACCGGTGGCTGCTTCAGCAACTGAGGATGTCGCGGCTCAACGTGCAGCTCCTCCACTCGACCTTCATCTCGAGCCGGTCGCTCAAGATTCGGAACCTTTGGCGATGGCAACACGATGTCATATTCTATTGGTGGCGTGACAATACGGTGGACTTGACGGAGGGCGAGGATCCAGGCCATCGCTTCACCACCCTCGGCTCTGACTACTCGTCGCGGCTAGGGACCCCAGAGATGTCAAGGGCAGCATCGGACGGACAGGTCGGCCGGCCGCCACGCGCCTTGCATCGCTTCGACAGCGACGACGCAATTACAGTGGGCGGCTGAGATTCGGCCAGCCTTTACCAGATACGGACTTTCCTAACACCCGACGACTGCCCGTTACAGCCTTGTTTTTATTTTTGTTTCGTTTGCCTCCGTTACATGTTGCGAGGCGTTTCGTTATGTGGACTCGGCGGGCCGATATTACGGTCCGGGTGGGCAAAATTGGAAGGGCATGGAGAATGGAACATGATGTGTTGGAGCCCTCCGACTCACGGCACCAGTTGTGCGCAGGGCGGAGACGGCATGTGATACCCCGCCGTGGACGAGGATTCCACGGCAACTTCAACATGTATCTGTACGGAAATGGGGCCTTGGATCTGCACCGATGTTTGCTCTTGATTGCTGTCTATTTTTCCCTCTTCTTGCGTTTCTCGTCGATCTTGTGGGCTTAGCGGGCGTGAGCGATATAGATTGTGGGCGAGGATTTCACGGTAGCCTCTGGCTCACGTTAATTGCTGTTGCTCTCCGAGTGATGACTGACCAGTGTTCGTGACGAGGGCAAGATCGCACAATCTCTTGGTTCGAGCTGCAAAGCATGGTGACGTGCAGAAGCGGGCCCCCAGCATTGCTACCTGGATGGAGCTCTTTTGCCCCGCCATCTGATGACCGTTTGGAAACACGCTGGGGAGCTTTCACCGGACAAGGGTTCCCTTTTAGCTCCCGCTCCACACTGGACGGCGCCCGTGTGCTGCGGGCCATGGCAGGTGGGTTTTTCGTCTGCGGGCGTGTGTGAGTGTGAGTGTGAGTGGGACGAAGGGGGGCCGCGCTGGCGCCGGCCGTGATGTTTCCAGATGAGGGGATGGGGGGAGGAGGTTGTGTGTGTTCCCCCCTCCACGTGCCAAAGGGCCGTGGTGGAAGTACAGGTACGCGGGGCCAAACATGCGTGAGACTGGAGCAACCAGGTGCTCGCTCACCCGCTCACCCACCCCAGGCCATGGCCACGGCCATAGTGAGTTGACGGCCCTGTTCCTGGAAGGCAAGCGCAGGAGGGCGCGAGGTTTCGACACCCTGAAAAGTTGGCCGGCCAGGCCCAGTTTCTTGGCCCGCCGTCGCCGTCGCCGTCCGTCCGTCCGTCCGTCGCCTTGAAGGAAAGGGTGGTGACAGGGGGGTGACGACGACGGGGGCTGGTCGCTGGTCGCTCGCTGGCACCATGTGATGCTGCTACGCGCGGGCCTTATGCTCGACGGGGAAGCATCGCGCGCGACGACAGCGGACGGGCGACTGCTGTTCCCGGCAATGGAGCTGCTTGCTTGCTTGCTTGCTTGCTTCGCTGGCCTGGCTGGCTGACTTGCTGGCCTGCTGGCCTGCTGGCCCGCCTCCTCCGCCCCGTTCGTCCGTTCGTTATGGTGCGACGCGCGTGCGTGCCTGCGGCCGACGGGGCGGGTCAAGGAGGAGAGACCCCGAGGACGGGACCTTTTGCGGCTTGCCTGCCTGCCGGCCTGCCTGTTCCTGTGATGGGAAAAGGCGACGTCCGCCAGAAGAGGCAGCTCATCAGCGGCGGTGGATGGGGCATGGTTACGGTTTGATGGAGCGTCAGCCGCGTTGAGCTCGCGTCCTTCGGCAGGGCAGGGCAGGGCATGGCAGGGCACGAGATGGCTGGCTGTAAGAGGTCATCGACGCAAGGCGAGAGGCATGGCATCTTTTCCCCTCCCATCATCACATCACAGCAGCCTGCAAGGTATCGATCCAAGCAAGTGTGAGTCAACACGCACCTGGTCGGGCTGCCGAGGACGTCATGCCCGAGTTAATGGCACTTCCTGCTTTCCGTCATTCGGCAGAGACAGGCATCGTCAAGGTGGTGGACGAGCTGCAGCCCTGACGGTGCATTAGCCGCGGGGTGTAGTGGCTGCAGATGGGCCGACAACGTGGTCACCAGATGCGCCACGCCGAGGAGATTCACGGATGGTTATCTTTTTAGTTTTCTAGGTATTATCCTCCATATTGTGTAATTCCCCCGACTCCTGTATCCGGCTCACGGACTGTCGTCCCAATCTTGGCTCATTCTCGACGGGGACGGAAGAATTTAAACCGCAGGTACAATAAAAGGGAGCGTGGATAGTGCGCGGCCAGGCGAAGGATACTTTTAAGTCCTTGGGCGCCCATTGCCGCAGGGTCAGCCGCCTATCAGAGACCAAAGCAGCCCAAGCCAAACATACCCTTCGACTTGCCCTTGCTCTTCTGGTCCGACTGCTTCTTCGATTTCACGGACGACCGTCTAGTGTCCTTGGATTGGGCGCTGCTGAGGCTGAAGGGGCGTCGTCGGGCTTGCTGGCCCTCGGCGGGCTGTTTGGATGTGCTTTTTCTTTGTCGCGACCGGGCGGAGGCGCGCTGTTCTGGTTCTTGATCCCTGCTAGCCCTGTGCCTCGACGGCTTCGGGTTTGCAGCCTGGTGTGACGCGGTGTTGCCTTTTGACTTTGCCGAAGCGTCGATGCGGCGGTCTTTGGCGTTGATGGCGCCCTTGTGAACCATGAGGCCGGATGGGAGGCTTGTGTAGGCACCCGAAGGCCCTGTCTCTGCACGGAAGCGCGGCGGTGGCGAGTCTCTTGAGTATCGTCGGTCTATCTGAGCTCGAGCAACGCTGTCCACCGACACGCGTCGAGAGTCGGTCAAATGCTGGCTGCGACTATCTCGTCTGGCTGAGTCGCGGGGCACGGGCATACATGCCGCCAAGGTGGCATAGCTGTACCCTGGAGCGGTTCCGGGGCGGAGGCCCATGATGTCGCCAGGTTAAGCGCCATACGACAGCCGCGCGGCCTTCCTGTGTCCAGAGTTGAGTCGATGCGTTGAAGTTCGAGTCGTGAATTGTGGTCTCCGGCGATGGTGGGAGCCGCGAGCTTTTGCAGGGTCTTTTGATGCTGAACAGACAAACGAGACTGAATACGATGATGTGGGATATTGCACGGCGGTCTTGAACTGCAAGTGCATGCGCAGGAGGAGGAACAATGTGTTTGTAGGTGTCGCGGAGGCGTGAGAGAGAGCAGAAGGCTGACACCACGTCTATGGTTGAAGAACAAGAGGCCACTCGCCCCGGCGACCCAAGCGCAAGTCAAATGAAGGAAGGAGTCGTTCGCGGTCGAACTGGCGCCTCGTCCTTGGTCATAGCAAGTGACAAATGCGGTGAGGCCCTCGCTCCTGCCCACCAAGCAGGTTGGCGTGCTGTGCCAGCTGCAATCGGGTGACTACCTACTCCAGCAACAACAAGTCTGAAGCCAACGACGCAACTGCCACGCATCAAGATGGCTTCCAGATGACGCAATGCACGACGCGCTCTTCCTCTGGCGTGAAGCACCCAGTGCCGACGCCTAAGCGAAACTCTACTCTCCTCCGCGCCATGGGCGTCATGAGAGGCGCGAACTCACGAGCCAGAGTACTATGTTACTTCTCGCTACATTGCTCGGTTCGCTCCTCGCTCCACCTAAACCGATCAGCCGAGATGGACGCGCAAGAGGAGAGTCAACTTCGGGCGGCTCTTGCTGCGATGAGCCTACGAGAGCGGCTGGGTAGGCATTGAGCGTGCCCTTTCCCGGCAGTAACTGACGTTTGGCAGGCGGTCCTTGCCCGGTGCATCTCAAGGCAGAGGAGCTGCTGAGCATGGCTGGCCGTGGGTGTCCGGAGCGCTGGGCGGTGGTGTACCTGGCCGTCGAAGAGTTCGACAAAATTGCAGGTTTCCTCGGGAGGCAGGAATTTGTTCCCACGTTCCGAATCTTCTACCATGACAGCAAGACAGGATTTACCTCGGTCCATCTCAACCCCTCGAGGTCGCACTATGCCTTGCAGTACTGCATCTACCGCGGGATGCAGAAGCGTATGGATTCTACATTCTGGCGCAACCAACCCATGCACGAGATGCAACGCGTGTACAAGTTGCGGTCGTACACGGCGGCACAACCAGACTTTTCTTTCCTCCCACACGATCTTGGCATAGCGAAGCAACATTTCCCAACTTTTATTATGGAAACCTCCTGGGAATTGACACTGGACGAGCTTCGGGCCAAGGTGAGATGGTGGTTTCGCGCGACGCGGGGATCGGTCCGCGTTGCGCTCCTGGTGTGCGTCGAGCCCGGCCCCAGAGGTTGCATTATTATCGAAAAGTGGTCGGCGGCTCGAGCAGACTCGACCCTCAAGGAGTTGTTCATCCCAACAAGGAAGCGGTTGATCAGGATAACCCCGGCCACGCCCGACTACGACTCAAACGGCGACCCCGTCGCCACTCGATCAAAGCCCGCAAGGGTTACCGGCGGCCCACTCGAAATCAAGTTTGACGACGTGATGCTCAGAGAGCGGAGTCTACATTTGAGGGAGCCAACAAGATTCGTCTTCAGGGACCAGTTCTTCCAGAAGTATGCAACCGAAGTGTGGACCCACGCAGAGCGGAGGTACACCCGCCAGTCCACGGTCACTTGAGGGCAGAGTTGAACAATTTGCATACAGTATAGATTGGGATCTGGTTGGCTTTCTGTTGTACTCGTTTCCTGTATTTTACTTGGACGGTGAGTGGGGTCTGTCAATGTGTCATAAGTGGTGGCGGTTCAGCAGCTTCACCGGCGCCGGAATGCGTGGACAGTCAAGGTGACTCACCCTTGCTTGTAAGACGGCGTTTTAAAAGGGACAAACATCCCGACTCGTTCCATAGCTCAATTTGACATCGCTTTGTGGTGTGATTAGTACCGCCCCGAGTTTCGGCATCATGAGTGTCAAGTTCGCACAATTCGAGGAGGATACACTCCGCTACTGGAGAGCAATCGACGCGTTCAAGACGCAGCTGAAGCTCACTGAAGATGGCGCGCGATTCTCGTTTTACGACGGACCGCCCTTTGGTATGTCTCCCGAATCCCGTACTCCAGACCCTGACCTGACTTGATTGCAGCAACAGGTACTCCCACGCACGACTGGCCTTGTCGATAATACCAGACCTGACCCAAGCAGGGCTCCCACATTTTGGGCATCTCCTCACGTCCACCATCAAGGACATTATACCCCGCTACTGGTCCATGAAAGGCCGCCATGTGGTTCGGCGGTTCGGCTGGGATACGCACGGCGTGCCCATCGAGTATCAGATCGACAAGAAGCACGGCATCTCGGGACCCGACGCGGTTCGCGAGATGGGCATAAGCAAATACAATGAGGAATGCAGGGCCATCGTGATGACCTATGCCGACGAGTGGAAGGAGGTGATAGAGCGTGTCGGCCGATGGGTCGACATGGAGAATGACTACAAGGTATGGCCTCACGCCACGGTCCATGTCTATGATGATATTAACAGGCGTTGGAGGCCATGGACGCAAACTTTATGGAGTCGGTATGGTGGGTGTTCAAGAGGCTCTTTGATGACGGCCAAGTATATCGAGCGTATCAGATCATGCCGTATTCAACGGCGCTATGCACCCCTCTCAGCCACATGGAGTCGAAGCAGAACGAGAAGCTCACCCAAGATCCCGCTGTACTAGTCTCATTCCCCCTGGTCGGCGTCGATGGCCGCGAGGACACCTCGTTGGTCATCTACACCACCACGCCGTGGACACTCCCGTCGAACCTCTTCATCGCCGCACACCCCGAGTTCGAGTACCTCGAGATACTCGACGAAGCCACCGGGTCCAAGTATCTGCTTGCCGAGAGCGGTTTGTCCATGTTGTACAAAGACAAGTCCAAAGCAAAGTACAAGATTCTGGACAGGGTGAAAGGCAAGCAGATGGCAGGATGGAAGTACAAGCCTCTGTTCAACTATTTCGTGGAAAAGTTTGGCGACTGCTTCCAGGTCATCCTGGCAGAATACGTCGAGGAGGGAGAGGGAACTGGGCTGGTACACCAGGCACCAGCTTTTGGCCAAGAGGACTACGATGCTGCCGTCGCCGCAGGATTCATCGGCCCCCATCGTCTCCCACCGTGTCCAGTAGACGAGAAGGGATGTCTGACGGCGGAGGTGCCAGATTACGCAGGCCAGCACGTCAAGGTTGCCGACAAGGCCATTCTACGCGATCTGCGGCCAAGCGGCCGTCTTCTCGTCGAAACCCAGATTACACACTCGGACAAGTTTTGCTGGCGGTCCGACACCCAGCTCATCCGAAGGGCCGTGTCATCGTGGTTCGTCAAGGTGACGAATTCCGTCGAGCTCATGACCGCAAACCTCGAGACCACATCATGGACACCGGCCTTTGTCAAGGACGGGCGTTTCAGAAACTGGGTGGAGAACGCGCATGACTGGAACGTCTCGCGGAATCGGTACTGGGGAACGCCGCTGCCGCTATGGGTGAGCGATGATTACGAGGAGGTGGTTTGCGTGGGCAGCGTCGATGAGCTGAAGAGACTGAGTGGATATACTGGTGAAATAACGGACCTTCACCGCGACAAGATTGACCACATCACCATACCTTCGAGTCGAGGAAAAGGGCAGCTGCATCGCGTTGATGAGATCTTCGACTGCTGGTAAGTCTACCCTGCCACGTGACTCCTGCAATTGCTAACATCGCAGGTTTGAATCGGGCTCCATGCCATACGCGTCCATTCACTATCCTTTTGAGAACGCAAAAGCCTTTGAAGAGGGCCACTTCCCCGCCGACTTCATCGCCGAGGGGCTTGACCAGACGCGCGGCTGGTTCTACACTCTCACCGTGCTAGGCAACAAGCTGTTTGGCAAATCCCCATTCCGAAACGTTCTCGTCAACGGCATGGTGCTCGCTGAAGACGGAAAGAAGATGTCAAAAAGCCTAAACAACTTTCCTGATCCGCTTTACATTGTCAAAACGTACGGTGCCGATGCTCTTCGCCTTTATCTCATAAGTTCGCCAGTGGTTAAAGCAGAGCCACTGCGCTTCAAGGAGGCGGGTGTGAGAGAGATTGTTTCCAAGGTCTTGCTGCCGTTGTGGAACAGCTACAAGTTCTTCGCAGAGCAGGCGGCCATGTTTAAGAGGAATACTGGTGGTGATTTCAGGGCGGACGCGGCGCTGTACGCAGGGACGGACGGCCACGGCTATCCTACCAATGCGATGGACAGATGGATCTTAGCAGACTGCCAGACACTGCTCAAGTTTATTGAACAAGAGATGGAAGGTAAGCTTGGTACTGCATCTGCAACTAATCATATGGCTTGCTAATGTACCCAAGGCTACCGACTCCACACCGTGGTGCCCGAGTTGTTGAAGCGCATCGACAACTTGACCAACTGGTACATTCGCTTCAACCGACGCCGTCTCAAGGGAGCTGCGGGACTGGGCCATGAAGACACACAAGCCGCGTTGAACGCGCTGCTCCGAGTTCTCTTCACAATGGTTCGAGCCCTGGCTCCCTTTGTCCCATTCGTCACGGAACATATCTATGGCCTCCTCAAGCCATACCTCAGTCCTGTCCTTGGGTCATATAGAGACTCGCGAAGCGTTCATTTCCTTCCTTTCCCAACAGCCCAGGAGTCACTATTTGATGCCGACATTGAGCGGAGGATGGCGGCCATGCAGCAAGTCATTCAGCTCGGGCGAATGGCGCGTGAGAGAAAGAACGTGTCGCTGAAAACCCCGTTGCTGCGTCTCGTCGTGGTCAGCGACGCTCAAACAGTGTCCGACGTGGAGTCTCTGAAGAGCTATGTCCAAGAAGAGCTCAACGTCAGGGACATGGTGCTGTCGACGGACGAGGAAAGGTACGGCATCGCGCTAGAGGCAAAGGCTGACTGGAAGGCCTTGGGGCAGAAAATGAAGGGCGACCAGCTCCAAGAAGCCGAGAAGCTGCAGCTGAAGAAGAATGTGCAAGCCCTTCGAAAGCTGCTTCCATCTCTCACGCAGGAGCAGCTCAGGGCGTATCAGCAAGACGGCAAGCTGACTCTCGGCGACATTGAGCTCGGTGCGGGAGACTTGACCGTTGCGCGAGTATGGACGAAGCCCGTGGAGACAGACGACGACAGTGGCCCGCTATGGGAGCCAGCGTTTGCGGCAGATGTTGTTGTCTTGCTGGACGTTGCCCTGCATCCCGAGCTGGCCGACGAGGGGCTCGCGCGGGAGGTTGTTAACAGGGTACAGCGGCTGCGCAAACGGGCAGGCCTGGTCCCGACGGACGAGGTCAGGATGCAGTACGCCATAACGTCGAACCCAGACGGAGTGGATTTCAGAGCTATTCTTGCAAAGCGGCAAGACCTGTTTGAGACGACACTCCGAGGGACACTGGAGGAGGCGGAGAGCGTGGGCGAGGGTCGCGTCCTCGTTCATGAGGATCATGAGATTGCGGCATTGACGTTGACGCTGCGGCTGTTGGAAAATTAGCCACTCGGTTGTGTAGATAGATATTGCGTTGGCCACACCGTACCAGATTCAGACGCTGGCCGTGATGCCGTGTCGACGTCGAGTGAGGTCGAAGCCGACATAGACAAAGCCGCTGCAATGTCATTAAAAGAAGCAAACTCAATGGGCAAGCTCTTCCTCAGCTCAACCTGCTTCGCAAAGGCAATCAAGTACTCCGACTGTGCCAAGTCGTAGTGAACCCGATCCTTCTTCCGCCTCAGCCTGGCGAGCTGCCCCTCCAGAGCATGGATCTGAACCTCCACGTCCGTCAGCTGCTCCAGGTCGCTCTTGCAAAACACCCGCCGGCCGAACAAGAGCTCGTTGCGCACGCGCTGCGCGCGGTCGAGCCCGCGGTCCACGTCGCTGATCTGCGCGCTGAACGAGCTCATCTGCCGCGCGAGGCCGTCCTTGCGCTTCGCCGCGGTCTCGCCTCGCACGGCGACGTACGCGCGCTCCGAGGAATCCAACTGCGCGATGGTGCGTGGCGTGACGTCGCCGCAGGTGCGCCGGCCGCGTCCGCAGAGGAGATGCTCGAGGACCTCGCACAGGGTGCGGTTTTGGCGCTTTGTTTTCTCGAGTTTCTGCTGGCGGCGCTGGGTGCGGCGCTGTTGACGGGTGGACGCGGGGCGCGCGGTGAAGGAGCGCAGCTTGGAGATTTTGCCTGTTGTCACTGGCGCCGCTGCCGTGCCAGAGAGTTCCTCTGGCTTTGTCACCGTCGGTGCCATCTCGTATGTGTATGTGTACGCTGCATTCGTGGAGACGGGTTCGGCGCTGCTCTGCCGCGGTTTCTTGGAAAACCTGTTGGCGATGCGGGACGGCAGGGAGCGCAGCCAGCGACGGAACCATGACCAGCGGATCTTCCCCGGCGAGAGGTGGCCGGTGCCGTACACGACAAAAGACATGGCGAAAACGGATGGTAGATGCGCCTTTTGAAGAGAGAAGATGTCCTGGACAAGCAGCAAGCAAGCAGGCAGGCAAGCGAAGTTGCGTGAGTGCTACACGGTTGGCGGACGACTCTATCTCACACTATTTAAGCTTCGGAGTCGTCGGTGCAGCGTTTTGTGTCCATGATGGAGTGAGTTTCATTGCGCCATTGACGCTGGGCTTTGTTGCACGAGGCGCGGTGTCGTGATGAATGGAGTTTCGAACCTGGGACCTGACCTGCTAAGACTTCTTTGTTAGGAGACGGAACTGATTTGCGTGAATAAAACGATTAACTTGCAGGTTGGGTGAAAGGGCTGAAAGCTTTTTGGGCGTTTTGTTGAAGGAAATTCTTCCGCGGCACTGAGTGGGCAGGAGGCCAAGTGCGAAATTTGTTCACCATAAGGACACTTACATCTAGTCCGTTGGAAAACCTTGAACTGTCGAAGGGCAAGTCGAATAGTCATGATAGACTGGGAAGGTACGTCGTGATTTGTGGCGCAGTGCCGTGCGGCATGCGACTTGGAACAAAGGGGCGCCATGATATGCAGGGACTTGGAGGATTGCGAGGATCATTGAAGCTGGCGTCGCATGTACGGAAAGAAAACCAATGCAAAGTCACGTCAATGCAAATTCCACGTGAGGATGCTGAACTAGCATTGCATCCATGTCGCACCTTGTATGTAGCATCGACCTTTGATGAAGGTGTCGTTGCAAGGGCCTGCGCTACCGATGACGAACATGACCTGAGGTTCTATCCAAACAAGCTCACAGCCGCAGTGCACGCTCTAAGCCCACGTACTACATTCTTGTTCTACCTCGCCTAAGATAGCCATGTCTCTCATCATCTCGAGCAGGCCAACTGCTTCGCCGTCAGCTCGGCAGCCACTTGCCGCAGGTGCTCCGCCGGGCCAGCCTCGAACACCTTTTGCTCCCAAACGTAGTACGCGTAGTCGAGATCACGCTTGGTCTGATCGTCCAGCCCGTCCCAGTGGTGGTAGTACACCATGAGCTGGTGGGCCATGATCTGCAGCTCCAGGTCCGTTGGCGCCGCGGATCCAGGGCCATGTTTGGCCCTCAGGCCCGCGAGGAGGCCGCGTATCTGACCAGCTGTGTATCCAGGCATGATTCGAATATACTCGATTTTCTGGATCGACGACGTTAGTGGGGATGCTCCGGTCCGGGTCTGCAAAGATGTTGCGTCTGGATGCACCACGCCTTCGAGAAGATGACGAGAAAGCCGTCCAGAGAAGCGAAGATTTATGCAAAGCCTCTGCATTGTTGCATAACTGAAGATTTTACGGGCCCAGAATCTGGTACACATACACGCAAAAGCAAGACGCAGGGTTTGTTTAGGGCCTGATAAAGTTTTGTGATGTGGCGCTAGAAGGCGGACACTGACAGCTGCGGACAGCTGCGAGATCGTGTCGCAGATCACGATTCAGTGGTAGTAACGATGCCCAGAGAGCAAACAGTCCAGCCCGCCTCCACCGCTGATGTTATGAGGCTTCTCGACACTCAGTGTGTACAATCCCACAAATGACCAACATGCCCCTATTCGCACGCCCCGTCCCTGTACGCCTCGCACCACACAGCCAGCATTCGTGTATCCCTGCCCCCTACTCCTGGCGCACAACCTTGTCCGACGCCTCCTGAATCCGCTCCCGCAGGCTCTGCATTGTTCCCAGGGTCTCCGCGTCTGCCTCCTTGGGAAGCTCGGCCTTCCAGACGTCGCGCACCGTGTCCAGCTGGTAGACGGCCTCTGCGTCGCCCGTCACGGCCGGGTTGGAGTACCAGGCGAGGATGTCGTTGCCGTGCTGAATGAGCTGCGCGTTCGTCGACGGGCCGGTGAAGATTAGGTAGAGGCAACGGCAGATGGCCTCGAGCGGCTCGCTAGCAGCGTTGTTGCCGTTGGTAGTGGGCATTTTTGTAGGTTTGTTCGAAGTGATGCTTTTTGCTTCGTGTTTGTAGTGGAAATGCTGCAAGAGCTTGAGTGGCCACTGAGTAAAGCAGAGTAGGAAGGTGTCTTGCAAGACGCAGAGCTTCTGGTGGTTTCGAGGTTGTGGTGAGGGTGACGGTGATGTTGAAGTTGCAGGCAAGTTGCTCGTGGTGAGGGTGACGGTGATGTTGAGGTTGCAGGCAAGTTGAGGTTGTAGGCAAGTTGCTCGTCACAGATGAGGTGGGCGGACTGACACGGCCCAGCCAGGTGCGCGCACCTGCGCGGGAGTGAATAACAGGCGCCGTGCGACGTCCATGCTCTGTCGTCCTGTGAATGCCACGGCGAAGGAAGCCTGAACAAGGCTTACGCAACCTCCACTCTTAGGCTTTGATCCGCAAACGCGTTGAATTGATGGGCATCAGCCACGTAACTGGCAAGCCAACTTTGGCAAATAGACTCACCAACCGACATTTGGCAACCGCATTAGACGTATTTTGAACCTCTTGAGGAGATAATGGCGACTTGGTGCACCACGACTTTGCTTCATGCGACATCTGGGTTCCGGCCTCGCGTGGTGCAAAGACGTGAGCGACACCGGCTCACTGATTGATATCGCCAGGCGGTCACGCGGTGACAAGGCTGATCCAGATTTTCAGACGGAATACCTCTGGAAAAACACACCGAATAGTGTCCGGCGTCTTCAGGTTGTAGAGGTGAGTGAATTTCGGAGCAGTGTTTCAGCGACGTTGCCCTTGGGTCCAGTCGTGTGGCGCAACACCAGGCGATGTTGGACCACTGCGCCGAAAGCCGCCGCTGGGAGTCCGCACAACGCGATTATGTAGCAGAAAAAATTATTCAGAGTCAATCCGCGCTCTGGCTAGCAGGTGCGGTGGTTTGGGGGACTCTGATACGCATCGTGATGCTGTCCCTGAATCGTGAATATCAATCCTCGTCCTGCGACCCTCCATGAGACTCGGGTCAGATCCTCTTCGCGTGCACAACAGGGTGAACAATGGCAGCGTATTCTCACATCCGCGTATCTTTCAAATGCTTTTTTTTACTGCTGTTGAGGTTCTGCACTTCATGATACAAGTACAGCTGGCTGATCACCTACGGGCCAAGTCTGGTGTGGTCAACACGGCGAGCCGTGCCTCCAGCTCTGTGCACGTAGGGCAGCGCATTTCTTTGTTCTGAGCTCACAAAAAGAGCCACAATCTGACTGCACGCAAAAATGCTTTATTATTGAAGATTCGCGGGCTTCAATAAGAATGTAACCAAGTCCAGGGCCCTGAGGGAGGGGGAGAGACGGCGCCTGCTTCCTGTAATGAACACTTTCCGTCACAATCTCAAAACGCCAAACCATGCGTCCCTGCTCCAAATGTCCGAGTCGCCCCAGGTGCCTCAAGTCCCAAACGCCATGATGCTCCCATCCCTTCCCCTAAAGAACGCTCCATGCATGCTTCAAAGCCCGCTCAATCCCGCCTTTGCACATGCAGCCTCCCAAACGCCAATCGAATGCCCCATCCTTACATCAGAAGCCTTTGATGCGCACTCTTCTCAGTGAGTCGACACTGGCAAGTTGAAGGTGCGTATGAGCAAGCTCGCGAGGCGCTGGTGTAGCCATTCAAGGATGCGTAGGTTCACATCCTGAGTGGCAGGCTCTGCGGCATTCTCAAAGACATGCCTGACCGCGACGGTCCAACGCAGGTTTAGGTTGATAAATTGCCGCAGGGTGTGCCTGCCCGCGTAGAGCTCGTCAAGCAGTGTGGGCGTATACATCGCCCAGATTCGCCGGCCGACCTGCACGAGGCGCGAGGAGGACGAGCCCACAGCGAACATGTCCCGTAGGACCTCGATTTCCACCTCTGCGGTGTTTCGAGGCGTTGGGGCGCCGGGGGAAGAGGGTGCCGTCGCTGGGCGGACGTGTGAGGCGCTGCTGGTCCGGTGGAGGGCGGTGCCATCGTCGGCAGAAGAAGAAGCCATGCTCGCTGGTGGTGGTGTTTTGGTTTTGGCCGGGCCGTAAAACGTATCACGGCAAAGCACCGCTTCGTTGACGTGGTTCTGCTCCGGCGAAATGGCCTTGTCGGAGAGCGTGGCAGCAGCAGGAGCGGGCGTCGTAGGAGAAGAAGAGTCCGTGGTGGCCGTTTGGTGATGTTCTTTTTGGTTTTGGTTTGTGTACGAAAAACGTATCACGGCAAAGTGCCCTGGTAAAGTTGTTTTGGTCTGACGGAATCGTCTTGTCGGAGGCAGGACAGGAAGTGGTAGAGAGGTGAAAGAGTGCACGGCAGCAGACGACTGGCGGCACAAGGACTCGTCTTATAGTAGTCTCTCGGTGCAGTCTCTGGGGTGCGAGCGATTAGTTTTTCCTGAGGCGAAGAGAGGCGCAGAGTAGCGTAGAGTTGTGGTGTTGACAAACTTTGGACGGAGTGAAGTTTTCCTGCGGTGTTGTGTGTGTGTGGGAAAGAGTGTGTTTGCACAAGTGGTGGCTCGGCTAGAAAGGTCCCGGGGTCATTTTTTCAACGAGGTGGCGCGTTCAAAGACGCGGTAGAAATTTCCTTGTGCCGCGTAGTGAGTGACTGGCCGAGTGTCGAGGAGTGCGTCGAGTGCTGTACACGCAAGATGAAAACGCATGGCACCTCGAACGCTTCAGAGACTGAACAAAAGGCCAGCATCAACACCCGAGCGACTGAGAAAATCATGAGCAACAAACACGCAGTTCAATCAACTTGTGGCCAAGAAACTTTCATCAACCGATGGTGCAAAGTCTGATATTTTTTCTACCTTTAGACGTCTACTAAACTCCAAGCCGCCTCCTTTGAAAATCGCCGAGGCGTCGCCCCCTTGTCAACAAGCCCCCCCCCCCCCGCTTGGTATACACTCCTCGGGTATTCGCTATGCTATGCTCGCTATGATGGTATGCTGGTATTGATGTGTGGTTGCGTTCAGACGAGGCGAGGCCTGACTACCTCTCGCCGTCAGAGTAGTCCCTGTCGCCGCTCTTCATGGACGTCATCTCGCTGATGGACGCCTCTGGGTATTTCCGTCGCTGAGTCTCCTTCTCCACCTCCTCCTCGACGACCACGCTTGTCACCATGTCCATCTGTATTGCCGTGCCGCGCAGTGACTCCTGGCTGGCGTTCCGGTGCCGCGGCGGCCGGGGCCACGCGCTCGTGCTGTTCCTGAGCCGCGTCCACGACCACCACCCGCCGGCGGTCTCGGTCTCCATGCTGCGAGCGCGGCCGTTGCCTCCCTGGATCCAGACCATGTTGCCAAACTCGCGCGACGGCGTCTGCAGGAAAGCAAAGGTCTTGATACCCGTGTCCTCGGTGTCGAGATCGGATGGCGCCGCGAAGATGATGGTGTTACGTGTCGTTCCGAATAGCAGACAGTCAAAGGACCCGTTGAAGGCGATCATGGCGCCGGCGAAGCAGAAGTAGCCGATGGGCACGTCCAGTCCCGCCATGGTAGCGATACGACCTAGGGCGAGCGGCAGCGTGCACGTAACGTAGATGACCGGGTAGATGAGGAAGGCTGGCTTGTGGCTCAGCTCAGAAGGCGGCGCATCTGGGCCCGCAGCCTTGCGCGCTTGCGTCTGCTGGCGACGAAGGGCGATGAAGATGGAGAGGTAGAGCGTCGACGTGATACCTAGCGCGACGAAAATCCACAGGTAGTGGGTGGCGAGACGGAGGTGCTCGTAGTCCTGGTTCATCCAGCACTTGGCTGGGTCAGCTGAAGGCGCAACAGATCAACGGCGGGCGATGACACTTACCCATGCGCCGGCCCTCACAAAGAACCCGCCAGCTTCGCGGCCGTTTTGCGTGATACCCACCGGCAGCAGGGAGATGGCGTACACGAAGAGCCAAATCAAGCCAACAGAGACGTAGAGTACCCTGTGGGAAGGGCGGCGGTTCTGGACGACAGACATGTACGTATGGAAGGCGATGGCCATGATGAACATGCTCGACGACAAGTCGCCGGTAGAGACGAAGAAACCCTGCGACCAGCAGGTTGTTGAACCGACGATGATGCCATCCTGCTGCAGCCAGGCCGTGTTGAGCAGAAAGGCCAGGCTCTGGTGCATGTCGGCGAGGAAGAGGTTGTAGATTAGGACAAGGAACTGGTTCGGCGGCGGGGTCTTGGGACGAGGGGGAGGCGGCGCAGGTTCTGGCGGTTGCTTCTGCTGCGGCTGGCCATCTGCAGACTCGGACGACGGTGCCTGGCCCTCAGGGAAGATGTCGTCGATGCCAAGAGTAAAGTTGGCCGTAGGCTGGGAGGCATTTCGAAGCGCAGGATGCTGGGCGTCGCGGGCCGGATGATCGCGGATGAAGAAGCGCCACAGGATGAGCTTGTACGAGAGATAGAGAAAGAGCGTGGCCGAGGCGACGAAGGAGATGAGGGCGAGGACGGTGATGGCGATGAGGCCTTGGCGGAGGCTCGAGTGGAGCGGAGTGAGCGTGCGGCCGTCGGGCTTGAGAGCCCCCCACGAGGTGCCGCTCATGGCTGGCGAAGAAGCTATCGCGGGTTCGGGCGAGATCGAGAGAGACAGCGACGGTTCTGTTGGTTGTATTGCGTGGGCATGTCCACCACTTGGCGTTCCCTGCGTTGCTCAACTCTCTGCTATCGAGGACACACGACGATGAGACGACAGCGACGACGAGTCTTGCTCTTCTTGGTCGTCTTACATGCGGCGTCGCGACGGCCGACGGAGGAGACGGCCAGGGAGGCTCGGGGTGGCGGCGGAGGCGTTGCGTGGCAGCCACAAGCCGAGTAGACGAGAAAGGGTGGCGCCTCGAATCTGCACGACCGGCCATGGTCAGCTTATGAAGAAGAGGCACGACGAGGATTTCCGTCGCGTGGGATCGGCGGCAAGGGCTTGCCGGGAGGCGTGGGCGCGGCCACCCCTGTCGCCCTCCCCTTGCCCGTCGTGGCAGGAGGAGCAACGAGGCCATCATCCATCGTCGTCGTCGGGGTCCGTATCCAGCATGCCGTCTAGCGGACGCGTTGGGCTTAGCGGTCCCCGGGCGATCTGCCCCTGACCCTGACCCCTGGCGCTGAACCCCTGACGCCCGCCGAACGGATGGCTTGGAGTGGGTTCGGCAGGTCAGTTTGGGGAGGGCGAGCGGGGGCCTCAGCGTGTCCGCGCGGCAGCTGCAGCTGCAGCTGCAGAGCACAGGCCCTCTGGCTCACATCTGGGGGTTGCTCGCGCCTCAGGCGGGTCTGGAAGAAGCCCTGTAATGTTGGCCGGCGCAAGGTTTCCAGAGTACCTTTAGGGCGGGCAGAACTGGGAAGGGGCCCTACAGGTGAGCGCGAGGTGAGGTGAGAGCCCGGCATCCTGGGAAGGTGCGAGGGCAGGGCAGCGCAGGGGCCACCACCGCCCGACGCCATGCATTTCGCATCGTCGTCCACTGATCCATCACGCATCATCCACCTCGGATCCATCCCCCATCATCAACTCGCCAACTGCAGGCTTCCCCGAGTCCGTCCCTTCCGGTCAGTGGCCCAACACCACCCCAATACAGCCCTGGAGAACGAGGCGAGTGCGAGGAGTAAGCGCCCGGGCCGCAGGGCTGCTGGGTGGGCTCTCGCCTCAGCCGGCAGAGCACCTCATGCATCCCATTGGGGGCCCAGCACCGGGCTCACCGCGTGGCTCGTGCCACTTCATCACAGGGCCCCAATACTACTACTACCTACCTAACTAACAACGTCTTTGCAGTGCAGTACGATATTGATTGACCTGTCTCGCCGCAATCCGTCTCTTACCCCGTCATCTGCGACGCGGCCTCAAAGAAACGGCCCCGCCTGTTTGGTCAAGCATATGATAAATTACCGCGGTCATTCCGAACAATCGAGAGTCTAGACGACGGACGATGCGAGAACTCTCCTCCGTCAGTCGTCCGAAGCCCGTCAGCTTATCCCACGCACCAACAGCTCCTTCGTGAGATCAGCGCCTGCGGGCGCCCACGCAGACACGGCCGAGTCCTATCGCCGTCGTCTCCGGCCCTCAGACTCCTCACCCCCGCCGGCCTCTCCCACCCGTTGTCCGCGACTCGTGGGGCCTGTGGCGTCGCCATCCTTCTCCTGCTCGCACGTGTCCCGGTCCACTCCCTGCGCGTCCCGGAACCTGGTCCCGGTTGGCGTCGATACGCCGTGAGACAGCCACTCGATGTCCGCCATGCATGGAAGGCCCTTGGAACTGCATGCAGGCACACGAGTCGCGACGTGGGACCCCTTGCAGTGCTTGCACAACATCGCCGACTTCTTCGACACGTCGAGTCCGAGCCATGTCCGACCGCCGCTCACCTTGACTCTGTCAATTGCCCTTTATATTTGACCGTCATTACAGTTCTACTCGGTAGTGGCAACACTGCCGCTGATCTTCTTTGTCTGTCCTGCGCCCCTTTGCTTTGTTCCGCCCTCCTGGGACTCCCTTTCCGCGCTGAAAACGAACTGGCCCCCCATCGGCGCGTGCGCTGCGTCAAGATGCCTCCTCGCCTGGCGATGTCTTGTCTCGGGCTTCTTGGCCCAGATTAGCCTCCTCGCTTCGTCTCGCTTGCCGTTGAGCTCGCGCGTCCTTGAAGCTTTGCGGGATTGGATACCACGCCCGAAGCCATCCGCCCCGGGCATCCGCTGCGGCGAATGCCGCTTGGTACTCGCGCACCATGTCCACGACCGGCTCCCGTGCTGCCTGGATGGCCTCGTCGTTGTCCGTGTCATCGCCGCCGCCGGCCGCCTCGTGCAGCTCCTGGAGAAAATCTAGTTGCTTCTCGAGCGTAAGCATGGCGTCCCAGTAACGCTCCATCGCTGCCCGCGTCTCTGGCTCCTGCATCAGGTCGGCTCCGGCGGCTATCACTCCAGCCGGGGTATAGGCCTCGAGGGGCATGCGTCGTGGAGCACTTGACGCAGATACCTGCTGCTGCACCGCTCCCTCGCCATCTCCGGTCGCCGACTGCTGGGCAGGCGAGGCAGGGTGGCGGCCTTCGTCGCGCTGTTGGTCCGCCATACCAACGGTGTCAAATCTTGTTAGTGTGTGTGGTTGTTGGACAGCTCTCCAACGGCGACACTTCTCGCGGTGTGGCTTCGACTGTGAGATAACACTTCTGCCACGCGAGAGCGAGGCAGGAAATATGCAAGCACAGCTTGGCGCTGATCTCAAGTGCCGATGAGTCTCGACTCTCTCTGAGGGCGGCGATAATTATAGCCAAGCGCTGGTCAGTGCCCTGAGGGACGATCTCTCTCTCTTGGGGAACCCAAGTTCCCGGGCGCCCTCCGCGTCTCTGGGACAGCCTTATACTCTCGCGCACGTGTGGATCGCAGGCGAGGATGATTCACGCACGCGCGCTCTCGCGATGGGGAGGAAACTGCCGGTGTCGTAGATCCACCGCTTCTGAATCACTGCTGTGCGAGTAGAGCGCGATCGGGATCTGATCTGCCATCGCTGGTAAGGGCTTCGGAAATTGGTGACGCAAAGCGCTCGGCGAGTCTCTCTCCTCCGTCCGACGATACTGAACCGGGAGCCCTAAAAGCACGGGTGGGGGAATACGTCTACGAGTATGCGTTGCAAGAGGTTGTCAAGTGTTCTCCGTCCGACCATGCTGAGCCGCTCGACTGATCTGGGCGTTGGGGCGATACCGGTCGCTTATTGCCGAGACCACGTTCAGCTCAGTCCTCCCCCAGAGATCTAGGCGTTCATGCCATAGTCTTCGCTGTCCTTTTGTCTGCTGGGATGAGTGGCGAGCGGACTGCTAGCAAGGTCCTGGCACCTGGGCTGGAGACTGGCCACAACGGTTCCAGGGGCGAGTCAATAACACACAGATGCATTCCCAGCCTTTCACCCGTGCCCCCGCACCGACATCATGTTCTTCGACTGTCATAGCATCACCAAGGACAACTCGTTCGAAGCCTCAAGCCAACCATTTGATCCAGCAGGCGTCGCCGTGGTCATTGTGTCGTGGTATATTAACACTACAAAAAAGACGTAAACGCTGGGCCCGTCCGTCTATGATGCCTAGTCTATAGCCGATTCATCGATTCACCCTCCTCCTGTCTTGCACAAAGCCAACCCAAAAACGCCGGAATCCAATTATGTCGCACAAATTTACGCGCGTGGGTCAGTCTGCTGCATCTCCACCCGACCAGGACTATCCTCGCGCAACTCCGGAACACCGTGCTTCTCCCGTAAGTCGTCGAGCAGCGGGCCAAAGGGATAGTCGCTCGCCATGCTCTCGTGGTTGCAGCAGGGCGAGTGCTTGATAGGGAGCAGCCACTCGATCGGCGAGTTGCCCATGACTGACTTCCAGTTTCTCCAGTAACCGAGGTCCCATGGGTTCTGACTCGGCTCCGTACGCAGGATGGCAAACACGCGCTTGGCTTGGTCGTCCCTCGCTGCAAGGCTGTGATCGGGCAGGGCGTTGGCCGGCGGCGGCGGCTCCGGCGGCCATGGCTGGAGCGGATACACGATTGTGGGGAAGTTGTTCGGCTTGAGGCTATGGCGAGGCACGCGGACCGCGAGATAGAACTGCTGCCTCTTCCTAAGAATGTCGATGTTGGTGATGTTTGTGAAGATGAAGCGGAGCGATGTCAGCGCCATGGCGAAGGTGAAGAAGCCGAACAATGCCGACAGCACGATGACGGCGATGACCCAGCCGTCCGTGGAGCGACCGTCGCCGTTCTGGAGTTTCAGGCAATATGCTCCTACTGCGACACACACGGAGCAGAAACAAGTGGTATACATGGTGAATTGGGCGAAAAAGTTGAAGGCTGCCGAGAAAAATTAGCATTGTCACACAACAGCAACGGGACAGGGCTCCAACATACAAGTCTCGGACACCATGCCGCCGACCCAGGGGCACAGGTGATCCATCTTCCGGACGCAGCGGCCCAGTTCACTAGAGTGATGCGCGCGGTCCGGCTTCCATTGTCTGCAGTCGGAGCACCATTTCGGCCGGCCGTCCGCCTCGCAGACGAAGACGTCCTTGCTGTAGAAGGCCTCGAGGCCAGGGCTGTCGGGGCTCGAATCGGGAGGCACCCATGGGTTCGCCTCGGGGTCCCTCCCGCGCCGGGATGTCGAAGCGCGTCGCTTCTCGTCGGCGGAGTCGCGTTCGTGCAGTAACGGGACCAGGCCCGGGTTGAGCTGGACGGTGAGAAAGGTGCGCAGATACGTGGCGACGGACAATATGAAGAAGAGGAAGTAGAGAACAAGAAGGGCGGCGACGAGCCCAGACTTGCCCTTTTGCCGGTAGAGATATTGCACTGGTGGTCGCAAACGGCCGGTGGTCAGCGACGGGTTGCAGCCGAAGGGGGACGCGTAACTCTTTCGACTTACCGCAGAGGCGTCCCACGACCGCGTATGTGCCGAGGACGAACGCGGCGACTATGAAGAAGGGTATGATGCGCACCGTCCACCGGGTGGCGGCACGATTGCTGACGGCGGTGCGCGCCATGGCAGCATCGTGGGCGCCGCGCGGGAGAGGGAGAGTTGGGATGGAAGCCGGGTGTGGAAGGAGTGATGATGTAAGTGGAGATTGAGGCGGTCGGACGTTGCACAAGGAACCTGGCGGGTGGACGGTGCGCCGCCGTCCCGCACTGTGGAATTGGGCACTGTTTTCGGTCCACCCCCGTCCGCACTCCGCAGCCTCAACACCGACTTCTGCCTCGGTGCCTCAGCAAAGCCGCATCGCCATAGGCATCAACGTTACCACCACCGACCGCTTCAGTTCCCGCGGCCAATCGCAGCCGAGCTGCTGCCCAGCGTCTGGCGGCAACATCGCTCGGTACGACCTCGTCACCCCTAGACAGCTGATGGACGAGACAACAACGGGCAGCACCCTCTCCTCTCACACACAGCCCCCCTGCGCTTAGCGGGCAAGTCTTGCCGGCTGGCTTCAATTCCCGGTGTGCTCAAACCACGTCACAGCCACAGCACCTTGTGTTATCAGCACCTCGTCTCCTCGAGCACAGGGCTTGATACGGTATTGTTGCCGCACATAACAGACGCTGAAACTTTGCACTTTCCAGAAGCCTTCTTCTTTCGGCATCCTAACCGCTGCAAGCATTCGGGCTCACATGACCGAAGCCCATTGAAGGGCGCTGCCTTTTGGCGAACCATCTCGTCCAGTTGCGCTAACAGGGCTGCTCGCCGCACCGAAAGCGCCCCTCATTCTGCAACATCTGCCCCCCGCAATGCGACTGTGCGGATAGCGCCAGCGCTCGGTGTTGTTCGCCCGCCGGCGGCGGCACCACTAACACAAGGCGTCTGCACAGCCCCTGGCACCTCGTCGCCCCGGATCGCTGGGCAGCGCAGCCGCGACGTCAAACCGCGACGCCGGTAATCGTGCCCTACGCGTCACGTTATCCCATCTGACGTCAATTGCCCTGGTCCCCCTCGGAGGGGTCCGACATGAGGCTGAAGGAGCGAACTTCGGAGGACCCTTGCTGCCCAGCACCTCGAGCACGTGCCAACAAACTGCAACCGCGTCCTGCCTCCCCATCAGGCGTCGCCCTGCTCTCGGGGCGGCCACCGAGGGAAGAGAAAACGCGGCCGGTGTCGCTCTCGAGTTTGAGGCTTGTTCTGGACAAGCAAAATGTGGCGGAGCAAACGTTGCCGAGGGCCGCGCTGCCCTGCCCATCGTCACTCTGCCGCCTGGCAAAGGGACCGCTCGTCCTGACGTCGGTCATCACGCGACGAGGCCCGTAACGGCAGATGGGGCGAGAACGTGGGCCGTTGCAGTATCGCATTGTGGTTGAGTTACTGATAAGGCCCTGCCATGTGACGGGCATCGTGAGGCTTTGAGTCAGAGGAGTTGCGTTTCGTCTTCGTTGCGCTCTGATAACACCGAGCGGTGCGCACGCCTCGTGGTCGATTGGCCTATGGTCGTCGGACAATGCTTTCTTCTTTCGCTTTGTTGTCTCCTTGTCTGGCGGCGATGAAGCGGCCAGTTCTCGGTCACGCTCCTCGGTCGCCTCGTCGGTGTGCTTGTTGTAGGCTTAGAGCCAGGCGCAACCGCAACCCTACCGACAAGCGGAGGCAACTCGTGAAGCTCGAGCATATAAGGAACTTGTAGAGCACGTCGTTTAGAACAGTCTCGACACTCTCCAAGAAGCCAACAAGCTCTCAAGCCCCAAGCTTCAAAGCTAGAAACAATCCACTTGTCTCAACTCAGTTGTCAACTCAAGCGGCTGCTCAAATAGCCCATCGCACTTGATCCCATCGCATAACACCACCACGCAACTCTTCGCAACTTTTCGCAATGGCTTCCCGTGACAACAACTCCGTCATCTTGCTCGCCGAGGAGGAGGTCCGCCAGGTCTACTACTTCTGGACGTGCCACATCTGCGGCGGGGGGCCCTTCTGGGTCTCGACGACGCCCGGATGTGTTCTGTGCGGCCACTTCCGCTGCACCTCTTGCAGCGTCGCCTCCGAGACGGCCTAGTCGGCCGACGACCCTCTCTCTCTCTCTCTCTCTCTCCTACCCTTTGCTCTTTTGTAAGTAGGCACTGACTGCTGTCTTCACACCTCATGGTCGGGGCTGAACTAACTTGGAAGGCAATAGGCCACGACAACTTGAGTCGTGGTTGAGTCTTGCGAACATGGAACAGGGCTTGTCTCTGTCGACGGGAGGAAAGGGTGCGTCGACGGTAGCGCCTGGTGGTGGTGCCTACGCGACGTGCCTTTTGATATGGACGTTCACTCCGCTTCTTGCATGTCTTGCTACAACTGTCCGGCCTTGAAGGCGGCCGCATATCAGGGTGTTGGCGCAGAAAAGCGGAGGTTAGAGGTCGGTCCCAGGACAAAGGGGATGCTTGACTGGTGCAGGTCGCCCGTCAGCAGGAAACACTTCTCTTTCTATCTCTTATGTCTGTCGGTCTCATGTCCTTTTCCTTGAATACAACTTGACGTCAAGATCCCTTCATCCCTTCTCCTGTGACTAACGTGACGATGAAACGCCCACGGCAGCGAGAAATGTCCCAACCCTCTCTGACCCAGTATCACCCAAAATAGACGTTATCACTGTACAAAGATTTTCCAAGACGACCTCCGCGTTCTTCTGCGTCAGTATGTCAGTGCGCGTATCGAGAGTCACTTGCATCTGCCCGTCTTGCAACGGGCGAGACTCAACCAGAATCTCGTCTGGAGGACGTGGCCAGTCGTACGAGCAAGTTACGAGCGCCTCCGCCTCCCCGAAAGCAAACGGCAGATCCGGCTCGATGTTTTGATGCACCAGATTGCTCTGACAGCAGGCTCCATCGGACCACGACGTCGCGTTACGCACCACGTCTCTAAAATCAAGCAGCTCGTGGTCAAGACTCCTGCGATGTTGCTCTTGCACGGCGGCAAGAAGATCTGCCACAGTGGCTGCTGGGTCGAGCGTCACGCGCACGGGGATAAAGTTGAGGCACATGCCCACCACATCCTTTGCAGTTGACGAGCCGTGACTGCGTCCGCTGGATGTCTGCGCAAACACCACGTCATGTCTTCCACTTATGCTCGCCAGGACGATAGACCACGCAACTTTGACGACCGTAGCTGTCGTTATGCTGCTCGGCGCGTTGTTGAACACATCCACGACGCGGCTTGCGGTAACAAAACCAGAATTTGAACAGCTGGCGTCGCCAAAGGAGGCATTGCCAATCCGTGAAATGCTCGAGCCCTGAAATGTTTCTCTCCAGAAACTAAAGGCCTCTTCAGTGGATGCTTCATCCCAGAGTTTCAAGTGCGTCGAGTATGACGACGCGGGCGGCAAGGCAGCGCCTTCGTATAACAGCTTCAGATCGCGCCACAAGATGTGCAACGAGTATCCGTCGAACTGAGCATGACTTAGTCGTACGACCAAGGCTTTGTCGCCTTCTTTGCCCTCAACAAACCAGAATTGTGTGACTGGGATACCAAGTGTCGGGATGACGATGGTGTCTCGCTGACGCTGCCCGTCCACAAAGCTGGCCATGGGCAGAAGAGTAGAGAACCGTTTCACCAGGACCTCGATCCCATCCACGACGACCTGATGATACTTGCCTCCATGTTCAACGAAGATGGTTCTGAGGATACCGTATCTGCTCACGAGTGCCGAGCACGCAGCACGAAGTTTGTCCTGGTCAACCGCGCCTGTAAAGTTGACGATCCAGTACTCAGGGGCTTGGAACAAGTATCTCTCCGCGGCTTGCGTCACAGGGAGAACTTCCACAATGTTCGCCTCCGCGAAGCGACCTGACTGGTGCCCTTTCAGCAATGGACCAAGTTCACTCTTGCTGGCCAGGCCCACAGTCTTGGACGACATGGATCCGGCGGTTTCCGGGGCGGTGCACTCCACGCCGCCTCCATCACTGTCGGGCTTAAATAGTGCCAGATCCGAGATTCGTGGCGTGCGAAATATGTCTGTCACACGGAACGTGAACCCCCTTTTCCGTGCGTCCTGGGCGAGCCGGATCGCATCTATGGAGTCTCCGCCCAGTCGGAAGAAGTCGTCGTCCATGCCGACGTCCGCGAGATTCAGGACCAGCACATCCGCAACGACCTCCTGCAACTTCTTTTCTTCTGCAGTCGAGGGTGCTCTCCGCAGGGCTTTGCCCGGTTGATATTGCCGTAGCTGCTGCCAGGTCATGTTCGCAGCCAACTGTCGCAGGAGACGACGATCTGTTTTGCCTGCGATGGTCAGGGGCACGTGTCCCAGGGAAATGAAAACGTTTGGAATCATATATGCTGGCAAATGTTGCTTCAGTTCCACGGCCAGATGCTGTGCACTCTCTCTATATCGGCCACTCGAAGGGAGCAAGGGGCACTCGTTTGTCGTCTCATCACTGACGCGTTCTTGACGTATGAACGCCACCAATATCTCACCAGCTCCGCGGTACACCGGCTTGACGACCTCAACAATGGCGTTGCCGACGGAAGAATCTGCGCGAAGAATTTGGTGCTCAATCTCTTCGAGTTCCACGCGCTGCCCCCTGATCTTGACCTGCGTGTCTTTTCGCCCGACGTACTTGAGAGTGCCGTCAGAGTTGTACCGCACCAAGTCCCCTGTCTTGTAGACACGAGACCGTGGGCGAATCCCCGCAAGCCACCGAGGAGCCTCGATGAAAGCCTCCGCCGTTCTTGCTGCGTCGTTGGAATACCCACGCGCCAGTGTTGGCCCCTCAATAAGGAGCTCTCCTACCGCCCCCACAGGTAGTAAAACTTCGTGGTTGTCTTTATCGACTATCCAGGATGTGGCACCATATGTACGCCCAATATTGGCCGGCTCAGAGTCGGGCGTAACGTCTGCCAAGGCGCAACACACGGAACATTCGGACGGCCCGTAGCCGTTGACGAGCCGAACTTTTCCTGCCCAGGTCTCAATGTCCTGCTGATTCATGGACTCGCCACCCAGCAAGACCGTTTTGATACTCGGTACGTCTTGTGGACGTAGTGTGCGTGCAATCGAGGGGGTGAGGTCGACCCTGTTGACGCCGAAATGGTTGATGACACCGGCCAGGTTATCACGAAGGCTCTCTGACGACGGTACGCAGACGCAGCCTCCAGCCAGAAACGTCCAGAGGTAGTCTGCGATGCTCACATCGAACATGTGGGATGCAAACTGGAGCGTCCTCGTGTCGCCGTCGAGGTAGAGATGCGCCCGTTGTGTCAAGCCACTCGTATAGAACGCCGCATGCTCAGTTGTGATGCCTTTCGGCTCGCCAGTTGAGCCTGACGTGAAGATGGCGTAGAGCGCATTGAGAGGGCCGACCTCTTGTGAAAGATTGACGGTAGAGGCAGTCTCGCAACAGTCGCTCCCTAACACAGCAAGAGTCGATGCCAACTGGCTTGCAATATCTTTGCACGCGTCGGAGCTGACGACCACCTGTGCGCCAAGCGCATTGCATATAGTTCGCAGGCGCTGCAACGGCAAAGCTGGATCGAGCAGAGCTACAGCGCCACCAGCCTTTATCACAGCTAGGATGCCCACGGCAACCCACTTGGACTTTTCGCTCAGGATCGGCACAAAGACCTCGGGACCAATGCCCAGAGCCTGAAGATGCGACGCTAAGCCTGACGACAAGTCGTTCAGTTCGCCGTAGCTGAGGTCACCATCCCAAGCACACACTGCCTGTTCGTCGGGGGTGTGAAGACACTGTGCTTCAATCACATGGTGCACGCAACGGTTGACGGCTTCGGCAGGGCCCGAGTTCCAGACCTCGATCTCTTCCCGTGATGCTGGGGCAAGAAGATTGAGATCCGCCATATTTTCCGTCAAATTTTCTTGTATTTGCTGCGTAACGTGGGCAAGCTGGGCAGCAAGTCGCCGCACCTGGTCGACCACCAGAACTTTACTGTCAAAGTGGAACGTGACGGCTGCTTCCTCATCAGACACTCGGCACGTAACTTCTAGCGCATATGTGCTAAAGTCCGCAGCGTTGACCTCGTCCTCGAGTGGCACCAGGAGGCGCCCCGAGCGGGTTACGGTGGAATGGTGGATGAGCACCAAGGTCTGAAATCGGCACGCATTGTCGGCGTTCCCTCCCAGCCTGCGGATGTTGTGAAGACCGAACTGTTCATGGGGCGTCATGTGTGCCAGCTGCTCTCTCACTCGGATTAGTTCATCGGCGACCGTCTGGCTTCGTCTAGGGCGGAAGCAGAATGGGACGGTCGTAATAGTAGGGCCGGAGATGTGCTCAATGCCGTCAATGCTGGCGTTGCGGCCGGAAGTGACGAGGCCAAATACCGTCTCGCTCGACTCACTGTATTGCGAAAGCACCATCGCCCAAGCCAGCGTCAATGCTGTCGCTGATGTATGGCCCCTGGTAGGATGCATTTGTAACCCGATATCCGTACATGAGTCAACGACTGGGCTGTAGTCGTTTGATGGGAGCGACGGGAAAGGGGCGTCAAAGACGTCCGCCAGCTGGCCAAGCCAGTACTTTCTCCCAGCCTCATTGTCTGCCTTGGATACATATCCAATAAACTTGTTAAATGGTTGGTGTGCGAGTGCTGCACCCGAGTAAGCTCGTTCGAGCTGGTCGAGAATGAGCCCCAAAGACCATCCATCGTACAAAGCATGATGGATGTCCAGGAGAAGCTCTCCCGAGCCGTGCAAATTTTCACCATGCCAGAAAAACAGCTGCAGCATTGGTTGGCCTAGCTGTAGCATCTTGCACGTCATCGTTGAGGCGAGTGTCTTCAAGCTTCCGCCGTGAATCACCCTCAGTGGGATGTCGTCATCGAGAACGACTTGGTATAGTGCTGAATGCTGGATGATCCTCGTGCGCAGAATTGGATTGGCCTTCACCACAGCCGTCCAGGCGCGTTTCAAGCTTTCCACGTCGATGTCATCAGGCAGCCGGTAGCGAAATTGGGCTTGAAACGCGCCGGCGTTGCGCAGAGACTGGTAGATCATGGCCTCTTGTAATGGCGTGCACGGATAGACGTCCTCGACTTGACAGTTGTTGACCTGGCAGGCCCTGGCCGCCACTTCCAGCAGAGAGGCCCGTTTTTCTCGAAGAACGAGTTCAAAAGGCGAAAAACTGTCTTGGGCAGGGACCCCAGACTTCGCAACCGCCGCCATATCGGAGAGCCTTGGATGACTGAAAACGTCCGCCACAGACAACAAATATCCTTTCTCACGCGCAGCGGAAGCCAGCCTCATAGCCACTATCGAGTCCCCGCCCATTGCAAAGAAGTCGTCCGTGGTGCTGACATCGCTGACCTGGAGATTTAACAGACCAGCCCACAGCTCAGATACGACGCGTTCTTTGTCGTTGACGGGCTTGACTGTCACGGCCGCGTTAGATCTCAATCTGCCACCGACGCCATCACTCGGCAAGGACATGGCAAGCTGCGATATCATACGACGGTGAACTTTTCCGCTGGCAGTCAGCGGCACATAGTTGAGCTGCACAAACAATGAGGGGACCATGTATCGAGGAAGAATCCCGGGAAGTCTGCTCTTCGCTTCCTGGCAAATGTCTCTAAACGCGTCGTCCGTAGCGGCAAAAAGTGGCTTGTCGTCGGTTCCTGAAATGGCGGCACCCGTCTCCCTAAGGCTGATAAAGGCGACAAGTCTAGCCCGGGAATCGGGTGAGTGAACCAGCTCGACGACAATTCTCGCGCTGTCGCAGAAGAATTGCTTCAGGTTGGCCTCGACTTCCCCCAACTCGATTCTCTGACCATGGAGCTTGACTTGTCTGTCCTTCCGGCCGACATATCGTATGCGTCCATCCACCATATATTGGACGAGGTCGCCGGTTCGATGCAACCGCCCAATTTTACCGCCGCGAAGGCGAGACAGCCATGGCGGGCTAGGGACGAAGCTTGACGCCGTTCTCTCAGCATCGTTAAAGTAGCCCCTGGCCACAATCGGACCTTCAATGAGCAGTTCTCCGACCGCGCCCCAGGCGCAGAGCCGTGACGGGTCAGAGGGGCTGACGATCCAGCCGACACCGGTTGCAAAGGAGCCCAACATTCCAGAAGCATAGTTTCGTGGGTCGACGCGGCAGGTTACACAAAGTGGCGTGCATTCCGCAGGGCCGTAGCCGTTTATGAGGCGGCAATCACTGCTCGCCCAGCGCTCTACATCAGCAGATCGAAGGTTCTCGCCCCCAAAAACCAGCGTGTTGAGGGACGGAACGAGAGTCGGCTCGAGGACGTGGGACGTAGACGGGATCATGAACGCCCAGTTGACTCGCTTTCTCTCGATAAATCCGTTGAGATCCGACAGCCGTTCCTCGTCAGAGGGGATGCACAAACACCCCCCAAACGTCAGGCAGGCGAACACCTCCAGAAGCGAGATATCGAAAGCGTACGACGCAAAGTGCAGCGTCCTGTTGTGTGCGCTCAGATTGAGCGGGCGGTCGAGCTCCCGAAGAGCTGTGGCAATGCTTCCATGTTCCAGCACTATTCCCTTGGGCTTTCCTGTACTCCCGGATGTGAACAGTATGAAAGCGGCATCCGTCACTGCGACCTGTCGCGGAGTCAATGGCGGGCTGGGTGGCAGCGTATCCAGCAGCGCAGGCGACACGGTGACGAGATGGGCGTTCCTATTCAATGCTTCGATCATGCTTCGTGTTGCCTGCGATGCGATAACGACACTGGCTTGCGTCTGCTTGAGCACTTCCTCAAATCTACCAGGCGGATGAGACGGATCTAGGGGTACACAAGCGGACCCAGACTTGAGTACGGCGAGTGTCGCCACGACTGTCCATCGCGACTTTTCCATGCAAATCGCTGTAATACTCCCAGCGCCAGCTCCGTGAGAAGCCAGATGTTGCGAGAGTCGACCAAAGGCTTTACACAGCTGTGTATAAGTCAGGGAGCCATCCCATGAGGAAATCGCCTCCTTGTTGGGGTGCAGTCGGCATTGTTCCAACACCAAGTCGTGCAGCAATCGATCCGCACTGATCAAGTCCAACGTATTCGATTGCATAATGCGTTTCATGTCCTGGGGGCTGATAACTTCAATGTCTTTTGTTGCCGTGCTCGGGCTTCGCATCACCTGCTGCACAACGTGGTCGAGCTGATGGGCCAAATTGAGCACTTCGACCTTCTCCAGGTACGACTCGTCGAAATTTGCGGTCAGGTGCACAGAGCGGTTGTCTGGCGAGATTGACAATATTATCAGGAGCGGCGTGTTGGCAAAGTGAGAATACACATCGTCTGTTGTGGGGGCTTCCTTAAAGAGATACCCCTGCTCTCCTCGGTCCGCGGGTTGGATGACCAGCTGGGTGTGGAAGTCGCACGCCGCCGCCGTGTCAGCGCTTATGGAACGGATACTCTGTAACCCGAGCTGCTCATGAGGCGTCATGTCGAATATGTGTCTCTGTATGGCCATGGCTGCCTGCTCCACCGTTACAGCCTCCGACAATCTGACGTGGAATGGCACTGTCGTGATGGTAGGCCCAACGCATTGGTCAATGCCCATCATAGGTGCGTTCCTCCCGGACAGCGTGAGGCCGTACACGACATCGTCCGAAGCAGTGTAGTGACCGAGAACAATCGAGCATGCGAGCTGAAGGCTGGCCGAAAGCGTGGCATCCATACCATCTACATCCCGGATCTGTATGTCGTGGCTGACGGACCGTCGCTGGCCGCGAGGCATTGTCGTCCCTCGTTGTGCCGGGAACATTGTAACGTCCAAATCTCGGAGCTCTTGCTTCCAGAACTCTCTGCTAGCAATTGTCGGGATGTTCTTCACATAGGCCACAAACGTGTTGAAAGGACGGAGCCTGAGCGTGTCCCCGTTGTAGGCCGCTTCAGCTTGGCCAAGGATGAGCGGCAGCGACGCGCCGTCGTAGAGTGCGTGGTGAAGCCAAAGCTGCAAGCTATTCTCTTCGCCGCGTTTCACTAGCTTGATCCTCTGGAGTGGCTTGCCGAACTCAACCTCAAGTGGTCCGTCATTTGATGACCACTGCAGCTCCTCTGCAATGACAACTTGCAGAGTACTGTCGCCTGCGGGCCCCAAGACGAGGCGCGTACGAAGAACGGGGTTCGCATCGTACACTGCTCTCCACGCCAGGAGCATCCGGTTAAGACAGACACCGCGAGGCAGGCTGAACTCTAGCTTGGCCACGAAATGGCCCTGCCGTTTCAGGCTCAAGGCAAGTAGGCCTTCTTGCATTGAGGTGCAGGGGTAGATGTCTTCCACAGAGTCCTGGCCAACGCCACAAGCACGCGCCACAAATGCGATGAGGCAATCGCGGTTTTCGCAATCTGTCAGCTCAAAGGGCGATACTGTTCCTGGCGTTTGCGTAGTTGAGTGTCCGATAAACAGTGCCAGATCAGACAGGCGAGGACATCGGAACAAGTCGGCCACGGACAGCGAGTATGAGGCTCCATTGAGGCGGCCGACGACCTTTATCCCGGCGATCGAATCTCCCCCTAGATGGAAAAAATTGTTGTCCATGCTAACAGCTTTAGCTGGTAGGCCGAGTGCTTCACATACTGCCACTTGAACCGCGACCTCGCTGGGCATCACTGGCGGGCGATTTTTCGCAGACGAGTTGTACGCCAGGAGCTCTCTCTTAGGAAGTGCCGAAACTGTCTCTCGGAGAAGTTGGCGGTTGACCTTTCCTGTCGGTGCCAAAGGGACACGTGCCAGTGGGAGGAACAGAGATGGGACCATGTAGCTCAGCAGCCGAGAGCGAAGCTGTCGCTCTACCTCTCCAAACCTTTTCTTGACAGAGGCGTCAAGCGCGCCCAAGACTCGTTCAGTATCTTCAGCTTCAGTGTCGCTCAGGAGGACAAAGACGGCGAGCTTCATGTTAGTACTCTCGCCTCCAGGGCTCACCACCTCTGCCACGACCTGTCGTGCCGTGGGCAAAGACTCCCGCACATGTTGCTCGACCTCGCCTAGTTCTATGCGCTGCCCCCGGAGCTTGACTTGGTTGTCTTTTCGCCCCAAGAACAGCAGCGAGCCGTTGCCGCTAGGGCTGTAGCGGACAAGGTCCCCGGTTTTGTAAACTCGCCCCTGCCTGCCACGCCTGAGGCGACGGAGCCAGTTCGAATAGCTGGTGAACGACGCTTCGGTCATTTCTGCATCATTCAGGTAGCCCTTTGCCAGGATGGGGCCTTCAATGAGCAGCTCGCCCACAGCACCGGGCGGTGTGAGGATGCTGCTGTCTTTGGGATCAACGATCCAGCATGCCGCGCCGGCGCCCCAGCCAATGTTGGAAACACCGCTTTCCAGCGTTGCATGTGGCTGTATTACGGCGTCGATGCAGCACTCGGTAGGTCCATAGCCGTTCATCAAACACACCTTGCCCTCCCACATGTCACAGTCACTCTTGGCAATGGCTTCACCACCGAGGGCCAGAATGTGCAGTGTGTTCAGATTGCCGGGTCGCAAGGTTCGTGCCAGCGACGGCGTCAGCGTTGCCCAGGTGACTTTGTAGTCATTTATTGCCTTCTCCACGTCGGTCCTGCTCTCCGTTTCGGACGGGATGCAGATACATCCGCCACGGACAAGAGGGTACAGGATTTCAGCGATTGATGCGTCAAAGGTAAAGGACGCAAAGCTGAGGACTCTCGAGTTTCGGTCAATGAGAAACGTTCCACTGTTCACCATCGCAGCAGTAGCAAGCGCGCAGTGCTGCATGATGACTCCCTTGGGTCGGCCGGTCGACCCGGAGGTGAAGACGGCGTAAACAGGATCGAACGGCGTCACCGCAGCAGGCCGAGAACTTGTGTCGAGGGGTCTGCTTTCGCTCTGCTCGGCCAGCACACTCTGGAGGCCCAAGGCCTTTGCCTTCTCGGCGTGCGAAGTGGACGTGATGACTACTTTCGAGTCGATGTCGTCCCGGATTTGCTGAAGCCGAGCCATCGGCGTTGACGGATCGATCATGATAAACGCTGCGCCTGCTTTCATGACGGCCAACGTGGCCACAACAGCCCAGAGCGACCTTTCCACGATGACCATAACATACTGCCCAGGTCTGATGCCCCTATCCTGAAGTAAGTCGCAAAGCCCCGTCGCGCGCGCGCCGAGGTCTCGGTACGTGAGAGAGCCATCCCAGGCATCAACTGCTCTGTCATGCGGATAGCTGACACAGTGCCTGAACACGATGTCATGCACGCAACCGTTGAAAGGCTCAACGAGATGTCGATTCCAACCGAAGAGTAGCTGGACATCCTGTTCATTCGCTGTCAACAGCTCCGCCAACGTGTTTTCCGGGTTGCTGGAGATGCCATGCAAGCAGTGGCAGAATTGGTTCATGATTCGTTCCATCAGCCACGGGGTAATAACCTCCGGGTCGTACGTGGCTGTAATATCCAGCGTGTCGCTGGGACGTTCCCCTAGAAAGACCTCGAGAGATAGCATGTACTGGTCCGCAATTTCCGTTGAATATCTTTCGACCTTGTTGCAGAACAGTATCGACGGTGGCTCGCGATGATGTGGCTGAATGATGACATGGTTCTGAAATTGGCAGGCGGCGGCGGCGGATGCCCCCAAGGCAGCGATGCGCTGGAGGCCGACATGTTCAAACAGCATCGTGTCTGCGTTCTGTGAAGCCAGCTGTTCCAGGGCCATGCGAACGGTACTCGAGCGGTCATATCTGCACCGCAGCGGTATCGTGGCCAAGGTTGGCCCGAGCATCTCTTCTATCCCCGGGACGGGCGCGTTGCGCCCAGCAAGGGTGGTTCCGAACACAACGTCGTCCGTGCCAGCGTACTGTGCGATGACGACTGCCCATGCGAGCTGAATGATAGTGGCTGGAGTGGCGCGTATTTCGTTTGCCGGATTCAGAGCGAGCGAGCGGGTTGCGACTTTGAGAAGGCCGGGCGTGTAACCTTGCCTGGGAGCCGGAAACATGTGGCCAGCGTAATCATCAAGCTGCCTCCTCCAATGCTCGCCCCATGCTGTGTCATCCTTCTCCAGAGTGTGTCTGACAAAATATTTGAAGGGCTTCAGTCCCGGGACACCACCATGGTATGCCGCCTCAACCTGCTCCAGGATGCGAGGCAGCGACCATCCGTCGTACAAGGCGTGATGGATAGAGAAGATGAAATATTTGTTCTCCCTTTCCTTTACTAGAATCAGACGTAAGAGTGGTCGCCCAGCTTCCATTTTCTTCATGGAAATGTTTAGCGATGCGTCCATACTATGGGACTGTTCCCATTCAATGCCAGTCGTCACAACAACCTGCAGGGATGTATTCAGTTCGTGTATGATCCGTGTACGCAGGATCGGGTTCGCCTCTACTGTGGCGCTCCATGCACTTTGCAGTCTTCCCTCCTCTATTGATCTTGGTAGTCGATGGACGTATCGAGCAATGTACTTGGCCTCGGCACCCGTGAGGGACTGCGCCATGAGACCTTCTTGCAGCGGCGTGCAGGGGTAGATGTCCTCAATCTGTTCAGCCGATACCCTGCATGCCTTTGCGGCCATCTCTAAAAGTTCTTCTCTTGTTTTATGAGGACAAACCAAGGAAAACGGTGGCACGTGGGTCTCGGCCAAGCTGAGGGACATGCTGGCCGCGAGGTCAGTGAGGCGCGGCGTCTTGAAGACCTTGGTGACTGGAATAACCAGTCCCTCTTCTCTCGCTAGTCGCGCGAGCTCAATGGCACTTAAAGAATCGCCGCCGATGCCAAAGAAGTCGTCGACGGGCCTTGCGTCTTGGACACGCAGCGCCTTTTCGACCAGTCGACAGAGTACCGCCTCCATGTGCGTGGGCGGTGCTGAGTCGTCCTGCGGCGCTTGGACATATGCAAAGAGATCAGTTCTGGCCATCTTTGAGGCCGCTTCTCGAAGTGATCGCCGGTCAGTCTTGTTCGTGGAAGTGGTTGGGAGGAGCCTCAGTGGTATCACGGCGGAGGGCACCATGAACCTAGGGAGGCGGGCGGCGAGGCGATCCACGACGCGCCGAGAAACTTCTCTGGACTCTGGACCGGGTGAGTGGAAAATATTCGACGCCCCGAGGTTGGAATCTGATATTGTCTGAGCCGTCCCTGGGGTGAAGGTAAATCCAACGAGCACTTGGGCTGAGCTACCGACCGCAGGAACGATCACGTCGGCCAGGACAAGAGTGCCGGCGGGCAGTACCTGCCGCATGTGGTGCTCTACTTCGCCCAGTTCCAACCTCTGGCCGTGAATCTTGACCTGCGTGTCTCTTCGCCCGACATAACGCAGGTTCCCGCCCTAGACGTACTGCACCAAGTCGCCGGTGCGGTACATGCGACTTCTGTATTTGGGCAACTCTGACGACATAAAGGCAGATCGCCAACCCGGGCTGTCAACAAAGGACCGTCTATTCATGCCTTCGAGCCCGACATAGCCCCTGGCCACAATAGGGCCCTCGATAAGCAGCTCGCCGACTGCACCTAACGGTGCGAGCTTGCCGTGATCGGTCGGATCGACCACCCAGCACAGAGCCCCAGTGCCGGAGCCGATAATGTTTGGATCCTGGCTATCAGTGACGCTGTGAATCGAAGAGTATACACAACACTCTGCAGGTCCGTATCCGTTAAAGACACGCACACGATCCGCCCAAGTATTCACATCGGACGGTGTGAGCGACTCGCCGCCAAGCACAAGCGTCGTGACTGATGGGACATCGCTTGGTCTCAGCAGTCTCGCCACCGTTGCCGGGACTAGGAGGGTGTTGGCGCGCAACAGCTGCACTGCGTTGGCGAGGTCACTGGCGCGATCTGCCTCTGAGGGAATGCACACGCAGCCGCCGACTAGCAGAGGCGTCAGGTGTTCCGCAACGCTGGCGTCAAACGTGTAAGACGAGAACTGAAGCACTCTGCTCTCGGAGCTCAATCCAATGGCTTTTATGGCCTCGGTCTGCCCGGAGCAGAAGGACGAGTGCTCTATCACGATGCCTTTGGGAGCCCCCGTCGAGCCCGAGGTGAAAACAGCGAAGGCGGCATCGTGTGGCGCGACGAGCGCCTTGGGTAACGCCGCAGCCGGTATCGATCGAAGCCGCTCGACATTGCCTCGGTCCAGCACGATGACCTGTCGGCCGAAGGCCTCTGCTTGCTTGGCTAGATTTGCTGCCGAGATGGTGGCTACGGCTCCCAGCTGAGCACACATGTTGCCCAGCCGATCCTGTGGGAGTGACGGCTCAAGGAGCACAAACGCAGCACCCGCTCGGAGGACGGACAGCATTGCAACGAGCGCCCATTTCGATTTTTCAAAGTACACGCCGACAAACGTTTCGGGACCGACGCCACGCGACGACAGATCTGCCGCGACAATGGCGGATACGCGTTCCAGGTCCGCATATGTCAAGTCGCCGTCCCAAGCACAGACTGCCATGGCTTCCGCCTGACTGTGGCATTGGTCCAGGACGAGGTCGTGGACGCAGCGGCTGACAAGCGTGGGTTGTCTCCCGTTCCAAGCCATGAGTTGCCGCACCATGCTTGGGGAAACCATATCGACGAGCTCTCCAGGGGAGACTTGTGTGAGCTGAAGCACGTTGTGCGCGAGGAGATCTGCGACGAGCATGGCTTGCCATCTAGATAGGATGTGAATCCGGTAATGAAGACGGAGCTTCACACCAAGGCCATCGACGTGGGCCCGGACGTATACATCAATCTGTCGGCAGTTAGACCTGTGCGGAAGCAAGCGAACATCTCTTTTGCGCACCTCGTCAGGAACTTCACGGGCGTAGTTCCATGTGAGAGCTATACGTGAGTCTTGTCGACCCGGTTTCGACTTCTCCTTGGCAAGGGCATTCTTGATAAGTGCAGCCGGGCTATGATCCCGCGACAGATCGACACAACACCAAGACTCGGTAGCAGTCTCGGCATTCTCACGCCCGGCACGATTGCTGAGGAACCTGAAGCCGGGGCGGTGCGAGCCCGTGTACGCTCGCAGAACCAGAGCCCACGCCGCTCGAAGCAGTTGCTCGCAGGGAACGCCTCGCGCCAAGCAGATGGCGAGGAATTGATTTGGGCCCTCGAGTTTTACATCCTCTGACTGGCGTTTCGTCGGTGCGCGCGAGACGCTATGGAACGCAGGGAACTGACATACACCATCCGAGCTGCCCTTCCCCTCCTCACGCGCAAAAATGCCTGACATGATGAACAGATAACGGTGAGGGTGGCAATCGTAAGGATGAAAGCAGCATACAGCGAGAGAGGGGAACGACTAACAGAGCCTCTGCAGGGTTGGAATACGAAGTAGATGCAGATCTCAGATGGCCAGCGAAACGGGCACCTGGTCGTGCTGACAAGGCGGTATTGACTCATTGAGTCGTATGAATTTACCAGCCAGACTCCGGTACAGTATATCCCAACCCCGCCTGAGAGATGCCTTCTGCCGGCTGAGTCTTTGATTGAGTTCTCGCGCATGGACCCGCAGTTGGTTCGTCGTGTTCCGACGTCGTACACGCTCTCCCCGACGCCAACACGTATGCCGCTGCACGTACGACGCCGCAAGCTTCTCCCGTCCACGTCGACGGGCACAAAGCTGTAGTCGGCCGGCCGTCTGCTGCATGCTGCGGAGTCCAGCCCCCGACACGACATCCTCTCGCCGCCAACAGCCTTGAAAGGTTGCTTCCTCATGCATATACGGCACGCACGCGGCGGCGGAGAGCCGCGCTGCACAACGAATTGATCAGTGCCTCGTGCGCTCGAGCAGTCTGACTGCTCTTGCGTCGTCGCCATGCCTCTCGTCTCCGCTGGGATAGAGGCGGACGCGGTTCGTATAAGATGCCTCCCATCTATCCTCGTGCTTCTGAAGTTGTGGCCGTGCAGGCTCATGTCCACCTTGAGACAGCTTCACTTTCGTGACTCCATTTCCTTTCCGGGATCAGAATACAGATACTAGCCAGCCCTTACCGCCATGGCCGAGTTTACGCCTTTTTGGGAGCAGCCCAGCCACCCGGGCTTGATTCAAGTCGTCAAGGGCAATCGTCCCTACACCTCGGCAGCCTACTCGCTCGTCTTGCTGCCGCCCGGCGCGCTCTTCGCACACATCACCACCGCGACAACCGTAGCGCACACGACGTACACGTCGGTGGCGACGGGTAGTGATTCGCGCATCGAGCTCAACTCCGACCTCGTCTACTGCAACCACTCGTGCCAGCCGAGCCTGGTCTTCGACATGGCGCGGCTCGAGGTCCGCGTCTCCGACGACCGGCCGCTTCGACCCGGCGACGCCCTCACCTTCTTCTACCCGAGCACCGAGTGGGACATGGTCCAGCCCTTCCGATGCGAGTGCGGCGCCGACGACGGCGTCTGCCTCGGCCGGGTCGCGGGCGCCAGTGTGGTCGAGCCCCAGCTCCTCATGGCGCGTTGGTGGCTCAATGAACATGTGCGCGCTCTCGTCGCCGACAAGATGCAGGCAGCAGGCCGCTTCACCGCTGCAGCTGCTGCGCCTGCGCGCAAGGCTGTTGGTGACCTGAAGGTCGTGGCCGCCGAGGGCCAGATGGCGGCTGTGTAAGCAAGCTGGGGGTTGGAGTATAGCGACATATGTAGACGAAGAAAATAGACCCGAAACTGTCCTTCTGCCCGTGGGTTCCCGGCTGGCATCATGCGAAGCGCTGTTGCGCAGCAGCAGAGAATATGTCGGCGAGTGTTCACGCAGAGGCATGTGAGAGGAGAGAAACGACTCCACGCAGGCTCACGAACCAAACTCTCAACAGAATAGACACAAGACCACGTCGACTTATGCGAGCGGCCGCGGTCGATTTCCGGCCAACCTGTCGTACCCGGCGCGGTGTGTCCAGTCCCCCGTCTACATGAGCATCCTTACCCGGCCTGCCTCCCCCTCTGATGATGGTGCATATGCCGTGCCCGACGCTGCTGCCGACAGCCACACATCGTCCAAACTCCAAAGCCCGCTGCAGGCACAGATCGAATAGGCAGGGAGCACAGCTTCGCTGTGCGACTCACCATGCAGCCACAATCTGCTTGGCAACCCCCCCTCCCCTAAGCGGCATGGTTAAAGCTGCTTGGCCAGCATGGACACGGAGTAACTACATTCTATATACGTACACATGGTGCACACTGCACAGCAAGGCAACGCCCTCGCCTCGCCTCGGGTTCGGACCGTGGTACCCCCCGTCACAACGTCATGCATGCACAAGTCAGGTATGTAGCTTAAGACTTGGCCCTCTGTCACGACAACAGTACGGTACGAGTACATAATACACACGCACAGTGAGTGATGCACTTCCTTTCTTCCACGCGTGCGCCGCCACTCCAAGCCCGGTCTCCGCTTCGTGGCTAATAACATGGTGGTGATTTGAACCCCCCCGCTGGGGGAGGACCAGGGCCAGGCCAACGCTTCACGCGTCGCGGGACTTGCCCCCGTAGCGTTATGTAGTCGTGGTTGCACAGCGCCAGCCGCTCTGCGTCTTGAAGCGGTGCGCCTCGCATCGTCCTTGGGCGGCGCGCGAGCAAGAGGGGTGTTCGGTCTGGCCACGACGACAGCCCGTCGCATGGTAGTCAGAGTGCAGCATTGGGTCAGCCCGCCAACTCACATACAGCACGGCATCACAGGACGCGGCATGGCTCGTCAAGTTCCAACGGTTGCTTCTATGGCTAGCACTCCGAGCCTCACCCTCATCGCCATCGGGCGCAGCGTCAGCCCACCATCCTCGCGCGCGCGCACTAACACCGTCAACCCGTGAAGCAGCCCGATAGCAAGGTACATAACAAAAAGACTCAAACCTCAAAAAGACCATACGATCATAGTGTACATTCATGCCGCCCCAGTTCGCCTGTACGCCAAATGTTGTGTGTGCTCGTTTCGTTGCTTTCCTCGCCCGTTGCCGCAACAATACCCACCCTCTCTCATTACCCTCCGAACCGAAGCGAAGTCGTCAAAACACACAAGTCTCGAGGTTGCAATGGTGCTCATGCGCGTTGAAGCTGATGAAAACCCTACCGAGAAGCGGTGAAGCTGGTGAAGCGACTGCGCCGCCTACTGAGAGTTCGACACGATGCGAATCCTGGCCTTGGGCGACTTGCCCGTCGCCGAAGACACCCGCCGGCTTGCGGCAGCCTTGGCCTTGCCGGGCGAGACCTTCTTTCCTGGCTTCGCGTTCTCATCGCCCACGGCAGCCACGATGGTAAGGCTTGAGGACCGCGAAGAGACCTGCTTCGTGCGCGCGAGCTGGCCGTACGTCTTGACCACCTTTGTGGTGCTCGTCTTCTTAATGACTGCGCCCGTGCTGGCACGGCGGTTCGCGGGTGACTTGGTGCCCAGGGCCGCCTTCTTCGCGCTTCCCGCGATGCTTGAGACGCCCTTCTTCAGGGCTGTGGCGGCTCCCTTGGCCGCGCCCTTGGCGGCCTTGAGGCTGGCGTTGGACAGCGACCGCTTGACACCCGTCGCGGGCTGGATCTTGCGCTTCTTGGCCTTGCTGCCGTCAGCCTCTTCGTCTCCGATGAGCTCCTTGAGCTTGCGCTTTCCGGCCTTGACCGTGGCCTTGACCGCCTTCTTCAGGTCCGCCTTGGGCGGCTTGGCCTCGTGCTTCTTGGGACCGAGGACTCCGCGGCAGTTGTGCGAGCCGCAGAGGCACTTCTGGACGTTCTTGGCCGAGAAGGGGTCGAAGTTGTAGTCGTACGTCAGCTCGTCACCCGTCATGATGGGCCTATCGCCCGCAAAGAGCGCCATTCGCGGCTGCCCTGAGACGATCCATTTAATCATCCGGCAGTTGGGGTTGCAGCTGTGGTTGACGAAACGGGCGATGCTGCCGGTGGTGGCATCGATGATCATGTTCTGGTCAAAACTCATGAGATAGTAGCACTGCCCCGGACATTAGCATCATTGACCCACGGACGAGGGATGAGGCTCTGTACCTCGTTATGCTTGTAGACTTCATTCATGCGGCGCTCGCACTCTTCCTCGGTGATGATCTCACCCGTGTACTCCATGATGATCTGGTTGGGCCGGAAGCAACGGTTACTGCGCACGCCGTAGCCGCGATCCGACGTCTTGATCACCTCGACACCGACGCGATACTTGCCTCCCTTGGATCTCCGCGCCATGAGGTCGGCAAAGGCACGGTTGGTGCAGTGCTCCTTACCGATGTTGCAGTTGGTGGCGTCGCACTCATACAGCATGATGCGGTTCTGGCAGCTCTCGCCGCAGCCGTCCTCAGGCTTGCACACACACTTGGATTGATAGTCGTCAATGTGCGGCAGCTTGCGCCAGACCTCTTTGGAGTCGCCGATGAACCGATCTATATGCCCACGTCCCATGTGAGCCTCAGAGCACGTGACTTATATGAGAGGCGCCAGGGGTAGGGGGCCGTTTGCTTACTCTTGGTCATCTTCTTCCACTCATCCGGCTTGGGCTGGCCGGGGGGCAGCGGGTTGCAGATATTGTACGGCAGCTTGAAGTCGCGGCCCGCAATGAGCATACGCAGGCCCGTGTATATGGGGAGGGGCATCGTCTTGTTGAGACGGCCGCTGGGGATGAGCTCGGGCAGACCGGCGAGCTTTTTCTTCTCACCCATGGTCAGGCCCTTAAACATGTCAACGGGCGCGTCCTGGCCGGCGTAGAGGCCCTTGGCGAGGTACTTCTTGACGCGGCGCTGCTTCGTGTTGGTGATGGGCTCCGAGTCCTCCTTCTTGGGCTCGGGCTCGGGCTCGGGCTCGACCTTGGCCTTCTTGCGGGCCGGGGGGGCCACGGGGGCGTTGGGGTCGACGAACTTGCCATTGGACCACACGGTGTGCAGGACGGGGCGCTCGTCAATGCCGGAGTACTCGTTGGTGTCTTGGAGGCGGCGCAGCTCGCGCGACATCTTGGTAACGCCCTTGTCGACGGCCTTCCGGCCCTTCTTACCAATGCTGGAAAGCTTGGCCCCGAGCGAGGAGACGCCGCCGGCCAGACGCGACGACGGACGAGAGGAGCGTGGCGACTCGCGGCCCTGGGCCTTGCGGCGCGTGCGCGGGGAGGAGGGGGCGGAGAGGGCGGCGGGGGACCATTGGAGGTTCAACGCGTCGATTCCTTCCTGGAGTGCCTTGTGCTGCTTGCCCTTCGCGCTCGAGGGGCTTGCGAGGCCCTCGACACTGCCGACGAGGGTATCGCCCGAGATGGTGCGGCGGCGCTTGCGGTCGGCGACCACATCGCCATTAGCGCGTCGCTTACCGTGTCCATCGGTGCCGCTGAGCTTGGCGAGGTTGTATACGGGGGCCGAGACACGCGCTCGCGAGGAGCGGCGCGCCGGGGTGTCGCTTAGAGCGGGCTTGGAGCTGTCGACATCGGCCTTGGGGGCCTGCGGCTCGTCTGGGCCAGGCGTGACGGCGACGGCAAGGGGCTCGCGGTCGTCGTCGTCGAGATGGACGGGGGGCGCGTCGGCGGCGTCGTCGGCCACGGTGATTACATCGTGCTTGGGGGTATCCGAGTGCAGGCTCTCGGTGTCGGCGACGGTGGTGGGCGGCGTCGAGCCCGAGGACGCGAGATTCGAGGCAGTGTCAGTCGCGGCGGCGGAGACGCTGCTCGTCTCGACCAGGAGCGACATGATGCGAGGTGGGTGAGCTGAGCGACAGGACGCGGGCTTAACGCGTGCTCGCAAACATCCGCAACGGAGGGGAAGGGGAGGGGAGGCGGCGCGAGGCGGAGGGGCCAAGCAATGGAGGAGCGTCGCGGGTGTTGACGGCGGCGGCGGCGGCGGTGGTGGTGGTGGTGGTGGTGAGGTGGATGTTGTTGGCGTGTCGTGTGGTGGACGTGGAGGCGAGCGTGAGATACGGGCAGGTATGCAATTGCTGCGGGCGGGAGCGGCACGGCGCAGCAGCACAGGCCAGGGCGGTCCCAGTCAGGGAGCGTCGAGCGCTGGCTGGTAGGTAGGTTATTGAGTGGCGGCTGTTTCTAGGGTCCCGTCCGTTAGGCACATTGGCTGTCAGGGCACGCGGCGCGCGCGCGCGAGACCTGTCAGGGCGCCACCCACCCACTATCGGAGCTGGAGCTCTCTGGAAGCAGTGGCACACGGGCCAGGAGCAGCAGACCGCTCGCTACTAGAGCAGGTTTGACGCGCCGCGTCGTGTGCTGACTGATTGAGCTGCAGTAAGAGAATGCGTAGTTGGTTAGCAAGCAGCGGCAACAGCAGCAGCAGCAGCAGCAGCAGGAGACAGCCACACTCAGCCAGCCGCCACCACGAGGAGTCCGGGCGAGCAAACGTACCAGACCGACGAGCAGACGCGCGCGCGTACGTGATGCGGCGCGCTCCAATGTCCCGAGAGCAGTCGAGGTTTTGAAAATGCTCCTTCGGCGTGGCTGGGGGAGAAGCTACTGCTGATGGTGTTGGTGGCAGAAACGCGGACGGCGGGCGGGCACGCGCGGAGGGGGGGGTGGCAGGAGAGAGGACCGAAACGGGGGGGGACCAGAGACGGTGTTGATGTGCGTGCCTGTGCCCGTGACAAGGGAAGAGAAAAGGTGCAACCAGGTGGAAGGGGCAGCAGGCGACGGGAATTTATGACACGGCGAGGTGAGGTAAGGTCAGTCAGGGCAAAGGCAGGCAACCGACCGACCGACCTCCTCCTCCTCCTCTCTCCGCCTCCCCCTAATAACCCGCAACACAGTCATGGCTCGCTCACTCGTGCTGGGCGTCGGCGGTGAGCTTCTTGAACCTTGTCATGGTTCGTCACCGTCATCACATCTTCGTCCTTGTCCTTGTGAAAACGACTCAACGCGTCTTTCGCACTTTGTCCTCGCCGCGAATGACACTCGCCTGCCGTTGCTCGCCGCGCCATCCGACACTCTTCCATTCACGATGATCCGCTCACGGCATTGCTCTACTTCCCCATTCTCCCGTGCGCGTGTCGTTTGCACCCTCGGCTCGTTGCAGTTATACGCGCGCCTCCTCGTCGCGTTGTCCTCATCAGCGCCGCTATTTGCCGCCAACCCACCCGCGGCTCTCCCCCCCTTTGTGCACTCATGCTTGGTGGCCCCAACCATTCCCTGTCCCAATGCCCGTGACAGAGTCCGTGACAGTGGGCGCGTAAAAATCGCCCAGAACCAGGTCGTGTGCCGCTCCGTGTCGTCGGTTGGAGCCGTGCTTGCTTGCTCGCTTGCTTGCTCACTCGACCGGGCGCCGCACCGACCCCAACCCAAGGCTTTTGTCTCGTTATCTCACAAACTCCAACCATTCCTGCCCCCTCCCCATCCGTGCGCCCGTTCTGTGCGCACCCGCGGCGGGACCACCCCTTTGACCAATTCGCGTGGTGGTGCCTTTCCAGAGAGTTTCCCTCCAGGGAGTTGAGCATTCACACATCACGAGTCGCTGCTTGGCTCTGGCCAAGACACGAAAAAAAAAATATGTCCCCCTCGTTTCAGACGAGGCCTTGGTCAGCAGCGACTTGACTCCAGCTCAACCACTTAGCCGGTGGCCGCGTCTCCGTTGATTTGAGGGGAAGGACTAACTAGGGCTGAGGGCCTGGTGGTGACCTGCGCTGGGCCGCCCTTGACGCCACTTGCCACGGTCTGAAGCATAAGTGGTGATGCCTCGCCGCCGCGGGGAACGGAGCTGGAGGTCGTGGGCAATGGACGCTCAGCTGCCGGATTCGGTGGCGAGCACTACGCAGTTATGGTTGCATTTACCAGCTGATCCGCAACTCCATTCCGCAGACTACAGCCGCCGGCTTGAAGGGCTGGTGTGAGAAGCGCTGGTGGTACGGGTCGCTCGCGTTGGCTTTGACATGTTCGCGGCACTGGGCGGTCTTCGCTCGCGATGCGCGTCTTTGTGTTGCTGGCCCCAACAACCGGGGGTGGCCGGAGGGAGGGAGAGTGGAGTGGCAGGGGAGACGTCTCGACCACGCGGACCGGGTGTGGGCGCCTACGTTTAGCTGCCGCCGAGTCAGGTTCGCGATGCATGATTAATTGGAGTCGCTGGTGTTGAGGCATCTTCCCGGTCGGCCGTGTCCACGACACGGTTCTGGCCTCGAAACCACGAAAAGCAATCATGGATGTAGTATGTACTTGAGGCGGCATCGCCAAACACGCGTGGCCTAGCTGGGACAGTGTCATCCCCGTCGCTTGCTGGGTCATAATGATATCAGCCAACCGAGTCATTTGTCTCTTTATCTGCAGGCCTGCGCCGAGACTACCGGAGCCGCTCCATGATCGTAGCTAAGGCTGCTTTCCGACAACGAACGCGTATCTCAATGTGCGGCGCTGCCGAACGGCTCTGTAACTTGCGGGCTTCTTCTCCATCCGCTAACACTGCAAGCTGTTGCATGGAGATATCACGTGCTTCGCCTCCTTCGGGGCGTCTGAGGCTCGCGGGTGCTATAATTATCTCGCGTTCATCGTGTTTATGGTGTTTGTCCTGCCCTTCTCGACCATCCCATCCGTCCCGTCCGGCGCGTATCACGTCCCTGCAGTCGGGCCTGCGAAGCCACTCGCCCCTAAACTCAGCGGAAAAGGCAGCAATGGCTTTCTCACGCCCTACACACTTCGCAAATCGGGATATCAGGCCTTGCAAGGAAAACGGTGCTCAGAGCCTCGTCCGTGAATGCCATCACTTCTCCAAGTCCCGACCAGAACAAGCAACCACGGCAACTGATTCTTGCCTGTGACCCCTCAGCACCATATGTTCATTTTCGAGATGGCGCAATGCTATCACCCCAATCGGAACATAGCATACGCGCCCGGCCGGTCCCAGGTTTCCAAAAACATGACAGTGGACCAATTCGTAGCTAGTTTCCCGTGCCCTTCAGGTGAGGATGTTGCGATTTCCCGCAGCATGCTGGCACGACCTACCCTTGAGTCGCGCAATCACAAAACCCCCGATCCGTCCGCGCACGACGCACTCATCTTCCCAGCTCGCGGCTCTCGAAAATAGCGGCACAAGGAATATACGATCGAGACGCAGTATCCAGACTCACGCATTGTGATACAGATTGATGCATTTTTGCCAAGTGTCGCGTTAGACACACGGTGATCAATAGCCCAAGAGGAAGCAGCCGCGCAGACATTCCATGTTGGATTGCTCAACTTCAAAACTCTCGCGACCACGATCCTGCGTCTGTCCGTCGCGCCCCTATTTCGTAAATACTGGGTAGTTGCCTAAGTGGCCCGGCCCTGAATTGCTGGCAAGCTCTCCGTGGAGGGAGTCGCCCGGTGTGTCAACCGGAGCTGTCCCCCTGTAAACTCGGCGACGCGTCCGCGGAGAAACCCCCGCCACACGCGACGTGTCACGAGACGTACAACCGCCCTCCTCCATCATTTAATCTCCTCCAAAACGCCAGCGGCGTTGAACAGTCTCCAACGACGGGGGCTGCCTACAAGAACCGGGTGCCACCCAAGCAAGAGCGTTTCGCAGCGACCGTAATGGCCTGTTCCGTAGAGCACAAAGCAACCACGTAGAGCGTAGGAACGATGGATTCCTCGTCCCCGTACAGCCTCCCAACCCAACCCAACCCAACCCAACCAGACAGAGCAGCGCAGTGCGCAAGCAACCCTCATTCATGCCAGTGCAAAGCAAATCACGCGCGACGAGTCACTGCCGCCCGCACGCACTCAAAGTCAGCGCAGCCAGCGCACGCCAAAGTCACATCAATGCAAGGGGCGAGCGACTTTCGTCAGCGGGCGGGCGGGCGAGCGGGGAAGGAGAACGGGAACCATCTCGTCTGTCTATTCGGAAACAAAGGGGGTGTCTAAAGAGGACGCTCAACTCAAAAATTACACGAGAGGGGAGGGTATTATCGCCGCTGTACCATCGCGCGGAAAGCAACCAGCAAAAACAAAAAAGCGACAAAGAAATATGAGCGACCAGATGACGCGCTGAAAATGCGTCCACATGCTCTACGAGGCTGAAGCCTCATCAACAGCTCTTAGACTCATGCGACAACCTCCTTGTTGGCCTGCTGCGGGACAGCGGCCTTCTCTGCCGACACCTCCACCGGGTCGGCGACAGGCTCGGCGATGGGCTCGGTGACGGGCTCGGCGGGCTTGGTCTCCTCGGTCTCGGCCGTTTCCACAGGCTTGACATCCTCCGTCACCGTCTCCGGGGCGGCCGTGGGAGCTGCATCGGTCTTGGCCTCTACCGGCGCCGCGGCAGGCAGCTCGGCCGCCACGGCAGCGCCATCAGGCTTGCCAGCGTCCGGAGCCTTCGCCTCTCCGTCGGTCTTGGTCACAGTCTCGGCCTTGGGAGCAGCGTCCTTGGCGCCATCCTGCTTCTCCGTAGCCGTCTCAAGCTTGACTGTCTCGCCGTCCTGGACGCTCGGACCCTGGCCGCCGTACTCCTTGGGCAGGGTGCCGACGATGCCCTTGAGCTCCGTCGCCAGGGTGGTGCCGGACGTCATGGGGTGGAACTTGCGCAGCGTGGCGGGCGCGAGGAAGAACTTCATGGCACCAAAGACCCAGCCCATGATGGCGGGCACGTTGACGAAGAACTTGTGGGCCAGCAGCTCCGGGTACGCCGTCGAAAACGTCTGAATGGTCTCCTTGCTGGCGGCCTTGACGTCCGGGTCCATGCGGAAGAAGCTGACGGACTGGTAGTCGTGCACCTGGAGCATCTGGTAGGGGTCGACGGCGTCGGGGCCCTCGGGGATGCGCTCCTTGATGTCGTTGAGGTGCAGCTTCTGCACGCCGAGCTCCATGAGGGCGGCACGCCACTTGATGAACCTGTTTACACGGGTCAGTCACGCTGGCAAACTCGGCACATTTTTCCAAGGGGGAGGTCGCACTCTTGCACGTTGCCAAACGTGGCCTTGTTGTTCTTGACGGAGCCATAAATGTTCCAGGTAATGACCGTCTCCTTGCCCGTGGCGGCATCCGGGTGAACCGTCACATAGCCCAGACCCCCAAACTTGGCGCCGTCAAAGACCTCGGAGACGAGCGCGACGGGGTTGACCTTCTTGCGCCACTCAAGGGCCGCAACGAGCTGCTTCTCGCCGGCGGCGGCGTCGCCGTTGTTGGCGCGTAGGAACTTCTGGAGGATGACCTGCGAGGGCGCGTGGTCGGGCGAGGCGGACAGCTCGACGCCCCACATCTCGGAGTGGCCAACCTGCTCGAGCACGGCGGGGAGGCGGGCCGTGAGCTTGGAGAGGGGCGTCTCGGCGGTCACGGTGGTCTTTGTCGTGACGGCAGCGCCGGCAATGCCTGAGCCAGCGGCGGCATCGGCGTCGTTGGGTGCCGTGGCAGCGGGAGCAGCAGCAGCTGCGTCGGTGCCGTTGGGCGTGGCCGCTGCCGGAGCGGGAGCGGGAGCGGGAGCAGCGTCGTCAGTGCCGTTGGACGCGGTAGGGGCAGCCGCAGCCGCAGCGGCAGCCGTCTCCGCCACGGGAGCGTCAACGGCGGCGGCCTTCTCCGCCGCGGGAGCGTTGGACGCGGGAGCTTGCTCGGCCGTCGTCATCTTGGTCGTTCGGTTTGCGGCTGGCGGTTGGCAGCGGCACCGTGAGGGCGATGATGCGAGGTGAAAGGGCGTCGAGACGGAAATCCGTTCGTGCGGGCGTGCTTCGAAGGTGCCAAGAGAGATGGGCGGAAGACCCGAGCGTGAGCGTCAGGAGGAGGGAAGGGGAGAAGGAAAGAAAGAGAAGATGAGAAATGACGGGGGTGGTCTCTTCTTTTTTTTTTTCTGCTGCTGTGCCCTTGCTCGGGGGTGGTTTGTTGGGAGACGGGGGGTGGTAGGTTGTGGTGCTGGGCGGGCGTTCGTTCAGTCGCGTCTCGCGCAAGGTAGCTACAGTGTACGTAGCTACCCGAGAGCTAAGCTGTGCTGGGCGGCGACGGGGGTCTGTGTGGACGGATGGGCGAGCCGGGCCAGCTGCCTGTGGCCAGATCGGATCGCGTTCCGGCGCGCGAGAGAACGAACAGAAGAGGGAGGGGGTGGGTGCGGTGACGGCCAGGTAGGCAGACAGGCAGGTAGGCGAAGCGACCTGTGTGACGCGACGGGCGGGCGGGCGGTTGTTGAGGCGATGATGGGACAGGTAGGCTTGGGCCCGCGCCGATAAGATGGCCGAGTTATACATAGATCTCGGGTGACGATGCGACAGTTGCGGTGGGGCCGGCAGGGCGTTTGGGCGTCAGGGGGAGAACGTGCTAGTGGAGCGCACCAGCTCCCGGGCAGCTCTAAAATGCAGCTGCAGCGACAAATGGGCTCACCGGACGGACCCGCGCCGGCTGCCGACGCGCCATCCACGGGCTGGGGGGGTGTGAGAGGTGTGGTGGGCGGTTGACTTTCAGGTTCCAGGCTCCATGGCCCCTGGGCGTGCGCGGGTGGTGGGCGGCAGCGCCAGCTGGGTGACAGCCACCTCAGGTCAGCGACAGGAGGTGACCTTCAGAAGGCGGCGACTACTGAAATGAACGGCGCGCCTGCGAGGTGAGACAACAGCGGTCCACCACTGCGCAGCCTGCAACCGACCTGCAACTCTGACAGCTGCCCGTCCTGCGGCAACGGCGGGCAGCTGTCCCCTGTTTGACTCACCCGCCCGTCCGCACTCATCAGGGAACGGAACCGCAGCTCGCAAACACGTGCGTCTACGCAGGTGTATTTTTGGGCTCGTATTGCACAGCATCACATCATCGAGCCCGTAACATGCATGTAGAAGCTCCCTCCATTCCACCCCCGTGCCTGACCTCACCTCGTAACGAGCGGATCCCAGTGACAACGTCCGTTCCCCTCGTCGCCAATCTCCCCAGGCAGTGCCACTGCCCTCCTCGTCAACGTTATCAATTGAGCCAGCCAGTGGGTGGCGTCGACCCGGGCTTGTGGCGTCTGCAGGCCCGCCGCCCTCGACAACATTCGAGCGACCTCCAGTCCGAGCTGCCGCTGCCCGCCACCAACTCCAACTCCCCCCTGTGTGGCCCTGCAGCTGAAGTTCACTCTCGCCTGCCGGGCAGGTTCACTGGCCGGCAGCTGGTCGAGTTGACACTCTGCACGTTAGAGACTGGAAGTAGTTTTTCTAAAATGTAGACCTACAACGACAAGCTAGAACAAACATCACTGCTGACTTCTGGGCAAAACCTCCCTCCACCCTGCCCCAACACACCGCAGAAGCCAAGCCATGCCACTCCATACGCCGCGATCCACACTCAATGATTAAACTAGTCCATTCAATTCACTCAAGCCCGATCCAGAGCCTAGGTAGGGGGGGTAGCGCAGTAGGGTACCAAGTACTAGAGCAAGGTACCACCACCAGAGTAGAAGAGCAGAGTCTTCCTTCACCACTCCAACCGCCTCAAGTCCCACGCAACATATAGCACCAGGACTCATCCGCAATGCGAATATGAGAAATCCACCCAGTTCTGATCCTCGAAAACCCTCCCCCTTTCCTCACTCAAAAGCCCGTCTCTCCCGCGCACTTCCCAAAGGTCCAACAGACGACGTCTCCAGCCAAAAGGCGAGAAAGAACAGTTGCGTGTCCAAGGCAAAGGTTGACTCTCTCCGACCATATGCAAAGAGAGCCCCAATCTGGTCGCACGTTGCCTCATCTCCGTTTCGGCCGTTGCGTGTCTGGTTCCGTCGCGTAAGTCGTCTCAGTGAGGGAGAGCACGGGACAGGATGCGCTCCACGGCCGAGAACTCGGCGTGCGCGACCTCTGCCAGCGTCATCCTGTCGAACTGGGGACCGAAGCTGTGGCCCAGCTCGGCCCAGAAGTAGCCCCAGTACATGTCCGTCTGCTCGCCCTTTTCCTGGAGCTCGCGTCGCACGGCGTGCGGGCGCGTGAGCATCTCGCGCTGCGTCTGCTCTCGAATAATGGAGATGTACCACTAATGCAGAAGCAAATGTTAGCCAAGTCTCAAGTTCTGGGTCCAGTGTTTACCGTGTAGATGTGCGTCAGAAGAAAAGCATCCAAGAAGAGATCATACGTCAATGACATCGAGCGGCGCGCCGGGTCGGGGCGCCAGCGCGTACTGGTGGCGCCAGGAATAGGCCTGCTGGGGCTGGCCGAAATAGCGCTGATCGTCCTCGGAGACGTTGAGCATGTACGAGATACTGTCCTTCATCAGGGGCGTGAGGCCCGGGCACGAGAGGGCCGCGTTGGTCAGACGCGTCTGAAGCTGCGGCGTGAGGTTGATCGGGTCGCAGTTCCGATTGACCTTGTCGGCGAGAACCTGGAGGAGCCTCTCTGTGGCGACGTACATAGCATATCGCTGGCTGAGGGTGATACGGTCGGTCACGAACCACGGAAACTTCTTGAGAGTGCTGATGAGGCACTCGTAGGGACGCTGAGGGCAGTCCTTGGAGTAGGGAGACTGCATCGACAATTGTTAGCATAGTCATCCACGGTTCTTAGGGCTCGACGTACCCGATGAGGGACCTCGACATGCTTGATCAGCATGACCATCTCCTCCTCTGAGATGAAACCACGAAAGTTCTCCCACGCAAACTGCTCATTGTAAGGCTTGAAGTGGGGGGTCGCGCCATCCCAGATCAGGCCGCGGGCGAGAGGGAACAAGTCCTTCATCAGGCTCGCCTGGCTGGACAGCTCGACTTCGATGGGGCGGTCACCAAGACGGCTCACGCGGCCCGTCTTGAGGTTGTAGTGGTGCTTGTCCACGGCCTTCATCGCCTCTTCGAGGTTGACGAATTCGATGTAGGCATCCATAGTCTTGGACGTGACCCGCTCCATGATGATGTGCACAGGCTCATCGCAGTCATTCAGAATCTTGGAGTTGCGTCCCACGAAAGCAATCACCTCCGAGCGCTTCGTCGCAAATGGAATCTGTATTGCGTCAGTCAAGCTGCACGGACTCGGAATCAGGTGTACTCAACTCACATTCTTGAGTTTGACAACACCACGATTGATGGGCTGAGCCATGCGTGGTGCCTCCACAAACGGAAAGTTTTCCGGAGACAGGGCAACCGAGAGCAGCGGAAGGCCGCCAGGCGTGTTGATCAGCCTGTTGAGCTCAGCGGAGCGGGCAACGCCGTCTCCCACGGGAGCCACGGTCAAGGGCGTCTGCTGGGGCTCCTCAGATGCCGGGAGCAGGCGGACGAGCTGCTGGTGATGCTGCTGCTGAGCGCCTGTGGGCTGAGAAGAGGCAGAATTCGTCAGAGCTGCATATCCCTGCACAACCGGCTGGGCATGGGCATGGTGCTGAGTAGAAACTGGGCCAGTTGTGTAGGCAGAACCAGTCTGTGCAGCTGCAATCTGCGCAGCAGGCTGCACGTTCGTGCCCACAATGCCGTTTGGGTCAAACTTGGGCGGAGGATCATTGTCAACAGACGTGCGTGGAGCGTAGTTGGGCGGCTCAGTGTGGTTTCCCGAGCTCGCGGGGCTGAACGGGTACTCGCTGCCAGCCGTGTCGCCGACCTTGGAGGAGGTCGGGCTGACGAGTCCGAGGATGCCGCAAGAGAAGCTCTGCGGAATACCTGATGACTTGGGAATCGGGTTTCTGAGAACGATACCCGAGGCTTGGCCAGCATCAGAAGCCGGCTGACTCTCGTTTGCAGACGTGTTGGAGGCGCCTTCGAAGGCCGTACCAGACGAAGCAGTGTCCTAGTTTGCTCCGCCTTTGTGGCGATCCGTGCGCTGCAGAGTCTCGTTGAGTAGGTCAAACGTCATCTGGTCGAAGGAGCGGCCGCTGCCTCCGACGGTGCTGATGGTGTTGGCCCGGGCCTTGGTGATGTTGACCGCACCGGCGTTGCGGGCCTCGCTGACAAGCTCTCTGTAGTGAGATAAGTGAGCCTGGGGAACGTGCATGTACTCTTGGACAGGGCTGTTGTACGGGACGGCGGGAGCAACATTCGGAGCCTCGCCATCGGCGTGCTTCAGACTCGAGGCATTCTGGCTGCTCTGGGAGGAGCTGCTGCTGAAGCTCTCCTGGGCCACGTTGATCTGGCCTGCGTAAGGAGACGAGAGGAAAGCACCGCCGGGGTTAGAACCCTGGGTCGGGCGATTCATCGCTGTTTCGACAGGGCGAGACATCTGCTCCAGCTCAGAAGACTGGGAAAATCTAGTCAGAAAGGGCCCAATGGCGCGGAAGGGTCGAGGGGTGCCGCGTACGGTCGGCCCTCGGGTGACCATGTTCTCGGGAGGCTCCCAAATGCTCGACTCGGGGTTCAGAAGGCTCTGCATGCCCGAGGTGGCGAAGCTGCCGCCAGTCTGCTGAGTAGGCTGAGATGTAGCGATGTCGTGGTGAGTGAAGGCATTTGCGTGACCGACGTAGCCTCCACGGCCGCCACGACCACGGCCACGGGAGGACCACTGGCCACCACCGCGTTGGTTGGCAGTGTTTGCCAGACGAGGGTCGGCATTGTCGGGCATGAGGGCGTTTCCGCCATCGTCGCCGACGTAGCCCATGTTGGCTCCTCCACGGCCGTAGCTCATGGTTTCAGCCTGTGGTTCCAATGTTAGCAGTGTTTGGCGCAGAAACAATGATCAGACGTGGCCGCGATCGTTGAGATGGCGGTTCGTCAGCATTAGAGAGAAGGAGAGCCAATGATACAAGAGATGGAATGCTCTCTCGCCCGTCTTTAGGAGATCAGGAACCAAACATTACCTTGCGAAAGCGAGATGGTGTCAAGCGTTTGCGCAGTCGCGTCTTCACGCTGTTTGTCTGAATCGACGAGGAGGCTTCGGGACGAGCGTGAAGGCAGATGCCCTAAAGCAGATGGGTACCGTCAAGCAGGAACAAAATCGACCAAGAATAAGGAGCCGTATTTGAACCAAGATTGAAGCACAAAAATGTGCAAGGGCTGAGGCTGGAGTAGAGAGGTATGGTGGTGTGGGAGAGTCGGGTGAGGAGAGTGTGCAAAGTGTGCGCACCACTGGTCTTTGAAAACTCTGCACACGGCACAAGGGCCAATAACAGAGCGGCAAAAGTTGATGCCTGAGAGCTTCCAAAGGCACCTAGAGCCGAACACGAGTGAATGTGTGCGCGGTGCGGCCTGTTGTCAGGTGATGGGGCTGAACAGCTGCGTGGTGGGCTGGCAGCTGGCAACGCGGGCGGCTCGCGCAACATCCCCCCCCGGGGGGGGGGGGGGGCCGCCCGAGGGGATGCAAACGCCACTAGAGCCGTGAATCCAGAGTTCAACCGTCAACAGAGAGACAGCTCAGCAACCGGTCGTGTTGGCTAAGCCAACCCCCAGGCCCTGGTAGCGGTCCGTTCAAGACCAGCACCACCGAGACACGGCCTGGAAACTCATTGGTATCAGTAGCGAATTAACAGACGAAAATTGGTCAGTAAGGGACTTCTGGCTCAGTCGAACACATCTGTTTCGTCTTGCGCCATATGCCCTGGCGCCGTGATTGTCGCCCCACCACGATACCGCCCTTCCGGTTATCTTGTCGTCCATGGAGCGTCTGCGATTGCCATGCAAATGATTCCCGTTTGGAGGCTGCACCGGCGTTGACATGACTAGGTTATGGCGGCTCGTTCAGGTCATCACCAGGTAAATCACATCACCGCGTCACTCGTCCATGAATACATGGTGCACAGAAAAGGGTCCAAAAGGGTCCATTCGCTACATTGGTTGTAGCAGTATCTATACCGCGGTTGGTTTGTCCCGCGCATCCGCATATATGCCAGGTCGGAGGGTTATCCCAACCCTGGCATGGATGCGTTCCTTTGGCCAGCATAAACTCAGTAGCCAGCTCAGTCAAACTGCAACGCCCGTCAGCACGCCGAAATGAGGCTCAAAGAGAAACGGAATGAACGCACCGGTGTTAGGAAAGATTCGGCCACGAATCGTGCTCGCGCGTTCAACTGCGTTTGTTAGCGTGTGCTAGTCGAAGAGGTCGGGGTACGCACAAAGAGCTTCATCTCCGAGATTTCCTTGTCAACATCCTCCATGAACTGGATGATAAAGTCGACCAGCTTGTGCTTGAGCATCTCGTCCGTGTGGAAATTCGTTATTAGGAAGGAAATGTCATAGCCCTGGACGCAGTCAGCGCGAGGGTCCCCGGCAGCGTCGGAGGCGGTGGAGTCGCAATTACCTTGATGGGTTTCCGCCGCAGGATGAAGAATGACTCGGCTCTTTGCGTGAGGAAGCGGGTGAACTTGTGTACCAGGATGTGCTCAATCTCGTCGGCCTGCTTGATCTTGATGCTGATGCGGATCGAGTTGATGCTCGGCTCGATGAGGACGCGCTCGTTCTCGTTGCGCGCAATGGTCAGGGGCGTGAGGAGGACCTCGGGCGACGTCTGGGCCTCGATCTCGGGGACATTGTGCCGCTCGGCGGTCTGGGAGGCGAAGTTGGACAGGGTCAGCGCGGCCGTCAGACTGCTGCGCACGCACTGCAGGTACGGCCGGAGGGACTGAGACTGCGGAGCTGTTAGCACGCAGCCGGCGCGAGGGATTGTCGCGGAGTGTGCGGTCTCACCATCGTGGGTGAAGCTGGGGCCCCGAGCGAGGCTGGCCGTTGGGGGATGTCGTCGTCGTGGACAATGTCGCGGCTGGGATGGCCAGGAGGTAGAGGCGCAGGCTGGCTGGCGGGGTCGACGGCGGTGGTGCAGCTCGACGTCTGACGTTGCGCTGTGGGGCAGCCGCGAATGCGTGCGTTGCTGGGTACGAAGCTGACACAGGGGAGGGTCACGTGAGAGCGCGACCAGAGCGACAGGGGGAGCTGGGGGAGCTCCGTGGGGTGTGGGGACGGCCGTGGAGACCTCCCGTTACACACCAACATCGCGACTTTTGGTCTTTGTTCGTTGCCTCAAGCCGTTGAGCAACCGTTCGGTCCCGCGGTCCCGTGGCCATTGTCTCGACTGATGCAGCGAGTCTGCCGGTTGCGTGCGTCACCTGTTGGGAAACAGGTTTCTGCCTACCCTGGACCTGGATGGGCTCACGATCTCGCGAGAACCTCTAACAAGTCGTCACAGACTCATAGTGCCAGCTAGCTGTCTACGCAATGAAAAGTATGGACTTTCAGCCGTGGAAATGCCTTCGGCCACCAAACGAACCTTGCAGTGCATTTTGTTGCTTTCCCTAGGGACATGGCGGCTATCCCATGGTCAGGATCATTGAGGACCCCCTGGCGGCAGGCTCATCACCAAGGTCATCAGCAGGACTGAGTCCCAATCACGTCTTCGAGGCGCACGTGCTCGTCATAAATGCGGCTGCTGGATATCCGCCATTCACCGCTCGGCCGTGGCACCATTGTGACGTCGTTGATGCCGCTCCTTCCAACTCGACAGTGCTTGGCCAACCAGGTCGTGATGCGCATGGCCAAGCTGGTTCCTGGAGATCACGCATCACGCGACTACGCGTTCGAGCACTGGCCCCACAGCACGACCAGCTTCGGGCTCGCGCAGTGCCTGCGCGAGCTTGGGCCGAGATTTCGGCGCCTGTTCACCCCGAGCCCATCAGTAACCTGCCTAGCGACCTGACGGTGCCCGGGTACGACGCAAACATGCCCGGCTCAGGCGGCACAGCGGCGGAGGGGGAAGGCAGGCCTACCCACGGGCACGGCGACCTGTGCCACTGGTTGTGATGAGAGCATCGTTTCTGCGGCGGTATAAAAGCGAGGAAAACCCCGAGGCCCAGTCTGAACACTCAACTTGCCTTGTTCAAACCCTCAACCTTGCATCAATCTTCACGTCCATGGACACAAAGAGACAACGCAAACACATCAAGACAACTTCCAACCCATCAAGACAGCTCCGAACTCATCAGCCATCGTCGAGTCAAAATGCCTGCAACCATGATCAAGTGCGCCATCTGTGGCATCGTCTACACCTCCACGCAGCCCGGCTGTCCCTACGCGAGCGTTCACTATGGCATGCGTCCCTCTGCCCCGACCAAGCCGGCACCAAAGCGCCAGCCATACATGGGCAACAAATCCCTCTACTGAAACCTGCCGCATTCTAGGAGCATGCTGGGCGTCTCTGACCTCGGCGCCAAAGCCACGACTTGCCGTTCTCGCGCACCGACACGGCCTTCTGGCAACATGAACACTCAGGCTCGGCATTGTTTCGTCTAGCACCTGGCAGCGTGGCGCCTTGGGCCAAAAAGCTTTTCCCGCTCTCAACCTTTTGCGATGGCTTTCCGGTTAACTTCACTGAACAGGGCGGATGGACGACAGATATTCAAACCCCGGCGCGACGCGATGGACGGCTGTTGTATTCGATGAAGCTCACGGAGGAGTCGGCACGGAGGATATGCAAGAACATTTCGAGTTTTCCCTGTCAAATACAGTCACGATTGTCGTCGTTCGTATTGACCAGATGCAAATGAAGCCCCGACGTGACGGACCTGCCAGTGAGTGCCACAGCTATTGTCGTGGTGTTTGACGTGTCTGGGGTCCTGAACGGGGCCGTCCCATTGGGTCCACTCCACTCCCCAGAAGCGTCGAGCAGTTGCTGCTGGCGCTAAGCCCCACCTGTTGCGCCACACTTAGCCACCAGGTACCAGCGACGTGACGCACAGCTTCTCCGACCTTCGACCCTCGTCCGCTTGACAACATCCCGCCAACGAGGCATTGCCCTGCGTGCCCTTCACGTTTGCAACACGATCAGCGTCCATACTGCTGCTCGCTGTCCTCGATTCCTTCCATTAACCAACAAGATAGCATTGTTCCAAACACGGCACAGCCAACCATGGCGACAATAACAGGTACGGCTACCCCTCCAATCGTCCCTTCGCCACCGCCGCTCCGTTCCAACGCTGACCCTTCTTGCGCAGTCGTCGTCAAGCACCAGGGCAAAAAGTACGACGTCGAGGTCGACCCTAGCTCAACCGGTGAAGACTTTAAGCTGCAGATCTTCAGCCTCACCAATGTCGAGCCCGAACGACAGAAGATCCTGATCAAGGGCGGTCAGCTCAAGGACGATGCCGACATGGGCAAGCTTGGCCTCAAGGCGGGCCAGGCGATCATGATGATGGGCACCCCCGGCTCTGGCGCCTCACAGCTCGTCCGCCCCAAGGACCAGGTCAAGTTCGTCGAGGACATGACTGAAGCCGAGCAGGCGCAGCAGGTCGGCGCCACCCCGGCCGGCCTCGTCAACCTCGGCAACACCTGCTACCTGAACTCGACGCTACAGACTCTGCGCTCCATCCCCGAGCTCCAGACCGCCTTGACGGAATACACGCCGAGCTCGACCGGCTTCATGGCCGGCATGTCGCAGATGGACCTGGCGGCCCAGCTGTCGGGCTTGTACACCAAGATGAGCCAGACGCAGGAGGCCTTCCCGCCAATGAACTTCCTCAGCGCCCTGCGGGTTGTCTTCCCGCAGTTCGCCGAGAAGGCCAAGTCCAACAACGGATACGCCCAGCAAGATGCCGAGGAGGCGTGGTCGCAGATTGTGCAGCAGCTCAATCAGAAGCTTACCGTCAAGGATGTCGCCGACGCGCCCGGCGTTTCTTTCGTCGACAAGTACATGTCTGGCGAGTTCACCTCGTCTATGGAATGCGACGAGGAGGAGGCCCGCAACGGTGGCGAAAAGGCCATTGTGTCCAAGGACCGCTTTTACAAGCTCAACTGTCACATCGACGGCTCGACGAACCACCTGAGGGACGGCATCCTGGCAGCGCTGAGCGAGAAGCTGGAGAAGAAGTCGGACGTGCTCGACCGCGACGCCACCTACACCAAGACGTCCAAGATCTCGCGTGCGCCCAAGTACCTGACGGTGCACTTTGTGCGGTTCTTCTGGAAGCGAGAAACGCAGAAGAAGGCCAAGATTATGCGCAAAGTCACGTTCCCTCAGGAGCTGGACATTGTCGAGTTTTGCTCCGACGATCTCAAAAAGGCGTTGATACCCGTCCGCGACAAGGTGCGTGAGATTCGAAAGGACGAGGAGGATATCGAGCGCGCTCGCAAGCGTCGTAAGAAGAACCACGAGCAGGACCCCGACGATATCCCAGGCGGGGCCGGACTGCCCTCAGAGAAGGAGAAGAAGGAGAAGGAGGAGAGGGAGAAGAAGAAGGCCGAGGCAGGTAAGAAGGACGGAGAGAAGTCGGCCGACGGCGACACGGTCATGGGCGAGACGTACAAGACGGACGCCGAGATTGACGCGGAAAAGGACGCGGCCCTGCTGGAGGCCAAGAAGGAGCTCAACGCCGTCATCGACCCGGAGCTGCGCAACGACGACGGCGCCAACCAGTCCGGCCTGTACGAGCTGCGCGGCGTCGTGACGCACCAGGGCGCGAGCGCCGACAGCGGCCACTACACGGCCTACGTCAAGAAGTCGGCGCCGGTGGACCCCAAGACGGGCAAGAAGGGCGAGGAGGACGGCAAGTGGTGGTGGTTCAACGACGACAAGGTGACGGAGGTGACGGTGGACAAGGTGGAGGCGCTGGCGGGCGGAGGCGAGTCGCACTCGGCCCTGATTCTGCTGTACAAGGCGATCCCGCTGCCCAGCTCGGACGGCACGATGGCGTAGCCGACTCTAAGCAGATTAGACGGAGGTGTGAAGGCGATGGATGCGGAGATGTGAGTCGGGTCATGGCTGTTACCGAATAGTGTAGGGAAGAATAAATGACGAGACGATTGCCGACGTCCAGGGTATCATTCAAGCCAAAACGCCGCGGCGATGCAAGCCTATACACGTACTATACAGAATCTTGTCCTCGTGTTGTACATTTCCATGCCCCCCTGCTCCTTGCTACACAGGTTCGAGGTGGCCAGTGACGACGGGCCTACTTGCCCTTGGCATTCTTTTCGGCCTCGCGCTCCCGGACGCGCTCCTTGAAGACGTCGAGCTTGCGCTCCAGCTGCGCCTTTTGCTGCAGCAGGTGCACCTTTTGCGTCTCGAGGATGGCGATTTGGTCCGCGGCCGTGGTCTGGCGGAACTGCTTGATGGACTGTGGCGGCGGGGAGGATGCGGTTAGCGAAAGCTGTCTCGTTTTACTGCCGTGCATCTAGCGGATGCGGCGCTCACCTCTTCCTTTTGCTTGTCCGACTTGAGCTGCGCGCCCGTCAGCGAGCCGACGAAGATGACGGCGGCGAAGGCGGCGGCCCAGATGCCGCGCTTGATCTTGTCCTGGCGCGTCCAGGCGTGCGCCATGTTGGCCGGGCGGGCTTCTGTAAGCGGTGCCTGTGGATGGTGATGGTGCCTGTGGTAGAGGCGAGAACGGAGAGCGGTGCGTCTGGGTCACCAGACGTCGCGCCAGATCTGGTCGGCGAGCTGGCGCCGCTGCAGCGGGGAGAGGGCGTCCTCCTGCTCGGACGAATGCAGAAGCGGCGGCGGTGTCGGTGTCGAAGGGCGGGATGAGATCGAGGTTGAGGTCCGGGTCGAGCTTCGCGGCGGAGGGCAGCTCGTCGACGAGGACAAGGAGGAAGTGGAGGAGGTGGAGGACGTTGACGAGACGCTGCGGGAGACGATGCGCCGCCTGCGCGCTCGAAAGTACGGTGGAAATGTCCGGTGGGGAGATTGGGTGCTGTAGAAGCGCGAGTCGTAAAAGGTCGTCAATTCGATGTCGTCGGCTCGACAGCAGAGACTTGGGTGGCCGTGCTCGTTTCCGTCGTCGTCGTCGTCGTCGTCGTCTGTGTGGGTGGAAGTCCGCGTCGTCGATTTCGGAGGGTCGGCGGCCCGCCACGGCGGCGGCGACGGGGATTGTGGTGCCGGCTTCACGGCGATGAGTAAGCGCTCCATGGCCTGGCGAATAAATCCAGCAACTGGTGGGTGGCTGGTCCACTGGACGGACCCCTGGCGAGCAGCAGTACGCAACGAAGTGTTATGTATGTGCTTCGAACAGTTTCGACAAGCAGTCTGCACAGGAAAGAAGAGAAATATATATTCTCAGTCCCTCCTCGCCCTTGTCGTCGGCAATTCGGCAGTCTTTGTCTCTGCTGCCTGGTCTTTTTTTCCCCGGCGTGTCACAGGACCTGTCGCGCACAGGGCGAACAGAGGGCGAAACGCGACGTCCCTCGCTCGCCTCCGCGAAGTCGCGGGGGGGAACCCCACCCCTGGATGCACGGAGTCTAGAGACGGAGAGAATGGACGACACAGCCTCGCGAGTCGTGGACCGCACCGCTCGCGTTTCGACATGGAGAGGAAAGATTCGGCCCGTGGGACGGACCGGTCTGTGGCATTTGTCTCGTGTGTGCTCATGCTTTTTGAGTTTCGCCCTGCTTTTGCCCTCTTCATGATTCATGGTCATCGGGCGGTTTTGGCAACTCTTATCTTCAGGGCGGCTGTACGATTTCCTGCACCACCCCCGTGGCGCCGTCGCCACGCACGTCATGTGTACAGCAGAAACGGCCTTCGACGTTGCAGAAAGCGTCTCTGGAGGATGCGGGATGCCGGGATGCCGGGGGACGGACGCTGGAGAAACGGTCCTGAAACGAAAGGCTCGGCATTGCGTGCCGGTCGGGACGGCTTACCCTAGAGCCCGTCCGTGTAAGTCGCGCGACTCAACACATCGTACCTATGCACAGGCCAGTCTTGGACTTGCTACTCCTCCTTGCTATGTACATCAATGGGAACGGCAAAGGAGTTGACGAAACCCTTTAGATACCCTGCGCTGCCCCACTCGTAGAGCGCCCAGCAGACCACCATGGAAAAGGCCGTCACGTTGGCCAGCGCAAACACGTCCCGCTCTGCCTCCGCCTTGGCCTCGAGCGTATCCTCTATGCCTAAGTACCGATGAACCTCATCCTTCGGCCACAGCGCCAGCACCCACCCGGCCACATACGAGAGCACCAAGCTCAGGCGCTCCAGGCTGATAACGTACGCCACCATGGTATGAAAGACGGACCAGCGCCGATGCCCGCCCAAGTCCCTCGCCCGCGCCGTCGCGGCCGTCTTGACCAGGCTGTAGAGGTAGATGGGCCCGAGCGCCCACAGCGTCGCCTCAAAGGTCGGCCATCCGACGGGCGAGAAGCCAGAGAGCGAGTGCACGTGCAGCGGGTTGTCGTGCGTGTGCGCCATGTGCTTCGCCAGCAGCCAGTACCCCGTGGCGCTGAGCAGGAGGGAGCCGGAGAGGACGACGTAGCCGCTGCCGCGGTGGAGGGCGGGCCAGCGGCGGCGCAGGCGGTCGACGTGCTGGAGCGGCATCATGACGCACCAGAGGATGGCGGGCGCGGCGTGCAGGCCCTGGTATATCCACGGGGGCGCGGTGAGCCGCCGCCAGGACAGGATGTGCTCCCCGGTCTGCGGCGGTGTGAAGTAGATGACGCTGGTCAGCATCCTCGGATGTGTCTTATATCGAGACCGTGACAGTGG